ATTGCCTAGCCGACGTCACCCAGAGGAGCCCCTCTCTGTGGGAGCGTACCGGTCGATGGGAGACTATCGGCCTCTGTGGGAGCGTACTGGTCGATGGGAGACTATCGGCCTCTGTGGGAGCGTACCGGTCGATGGGAGGCTATCGGCGGCAGAAGGCGGTCTCGTAAATACCCAGGAGCTTTATAGGTAATAAACCTACAAAGCTCTATATTGCATAGGGCCAAGCCACCTGCGGAACTGAACTGGTTTTGCCCCATCGCTTGAGGCCATCCCACTTACTCAGGCAGGGAAGGCGTGGTGAAAGATTTTCGATTGGTGGGGGTCTAGGAAGAGGGTCTTTTCTGTCACTGCCACTGCTTTCTGGAAATCCTGCCCCTCAGAGGTGAGGAGAGCCCTTAATTTCTTGGCCTTCCACAAAGGGGTCAACAATTAACTGTGTGACTCTTAAGATTCTGCCTCATCAGTCTTCTCAAGAAAGCAGAACTCTTGAAACAAACGGCATTTCGAAAGGAACTTTTATTGGAAGACAAGTGATATGCAGAGAAAGCGTAGGCAGAATCTGAAATTCCCACGCTGGAGCGTTAGGTTAAACCGCTCCTTTTGAGGCCCCTCCCAATGTCCAGTTCATCTTTGAGCCAATCCCAAGGTGTGAAGATATTGTGAGAACTTCGGGCTGAGAAGGTGTTAACAGTCAGTTTCCAGATGCCAGGATCTCACTCTTTCTAGGTATTGAGATAAAGCAGATGGCCCCCCCCTCCCAACTCCCCTCAAAGCCGAGAAAGGAACAAAGGAAAAACCCCATTCAAGCATAGCCCCAAGACTCCCACCTCCCACCGGAATGGCAAGGTACTGATAGGGATCAATGGGACCTGACAGTGACCTTGTGTGGAGGACACAGGCACCCACCACATGGAGCTTGCTGGCCTCACGAGAAATCTTTCTTCCCCCATCCCCACTGCTGCATTAATAACTGTTAATTCACCCCCTTGGAATTCTTCCTCTTTTCACAGTTTTATAATGTTTCATGATTTAAAATTTTTCAATCCTAAATTATTCAGATTTTAATGGTTTAATTATATTATGTTGTGCATCGCCCAGATGCCCCCTCCTTCAAGAGGGTGGTGGTTGAAAAATATGAAGAACAAATGGATGAATAGAATAGAGTAGAGTAGAGTAGAGTAGAGTAGAGTAGAGTAGAGTAGAGTAGAGTAGAATAGAATAGAATAGAATTGAATTGAATTCTTTATTGCCCAAGTGTGATTGAACACACAAGGAATTTGTCTGATGTGAATATGCTCTCCGTGTACATAAAAAGAGAAGATACATTCATCAAGAATCATAAGATACAACACTTAATGATAGTCATAGGGAACAAATAAGCAATCAAATCATATTGGGAAACAGTCAATATAAATCGTAAGGATACCAGCAACAAGGTTACAGTCATACAGTCATAAGTGGGGGGAGATGGGTGATAGGGGAGATGAATGAATGAATGAATCAATCAATCAATCAATGAATCGAATGAATGAATGAATGAACGAACGAACGAACGAATATGCGAACAAGGCCAATGAGTAGGGTGATGAAACAAATCTGTGAGGAATGGAGGAACATTTAATTAATTTAGTATCTGGGCTCCAGCATGAACCATTCCAAGAAGTTGTGGTGTCCAAAAAAAAAAAAAAACCTTATTATGCAGAAAAACTGGAAGGGTAAAATATCAGCAGGGAAAATAAAGGGGAAATCTCGGAGATCGAAGCACTGGGAGGTGTCCCGTAATGCAGCATTCAAATGGAATGGGGTGGATTCATCATTTATATTTATTGGGGAGGTTACATACAGTGAAATACAAAACTGAAGATAGAAAGAAGGAAGGTGCAAGAAAATTTAAAAAAAATCAACAACCCTAAAGTTATGAATTATAACTATAACTTTCCAACCTTCCCTTCCACAGGTATTTCTTGAGAATGTTACATAAAATAAAATACAAATTTATAGAAAGGTGGAAGAAAAAACCCCCCCTAAAGCTATGAGATATGACTACCCACCTTTTCTTCAACAAATATCAAATCTGTTGTTTTTCCTCTTGCTAGCTCTTAACAAAAATCCCTCCCACGATAATCCTTTGATGACTTGTGGACTTCAACTCCCAGAATTCTTGAGCCAGCATTGCAATTCTGGAAGTTGAAGTCCACAATGATGGCTCAGGAATTCTGGGAGTTGAAGTCCACAAGTCATCCAAGGGACATTGTTTCCCACCCCTGCCCTGGAGATTCAAAAGACGGAAAGCAAGGCGGGGGTGAGATGTTCCCTTTCTGCTAATTAGGCACAGAAAAGGGAAGGAGACCTCCTGCGCCTAGAGAGCAGTGTTCTAGGCGATAGCACTGATACACTGACAGCAGTGTTCCAATATTTGAGGGTCTGCCACAAAAAAGAGGGGGTCAAATTATTTTCTAAAGCACCAGGAGGCAACAATGGATGGAGAAACAATGGATGGAAGTTAATCAAGGAGAGAAGCAGCTGGATTTAAGGAGAAACTTCCTAACAGTGATGACAATTAACCAGTGGAACAGCTTGCCACCAGAAACTGTGGGTGTTTCATAACTGGGTTTTTTTTTAAAGAAAAGACTGGACAGCTACTTGTCTGAAATGGCATAGCGTCTCCTGCTTGAGCAGGGAGCTGGACTAGAAGACCTCCAAGGTCCCTTTGGGCATTCCTATTCTATTCTATTTTTTAAATTAAAAATATCAAAATATGCTTTTAATTTATTCTTGAACGTGCATTTAAATTTCTTATCACAAAAGTACCAGCATTTATTTTATTTATTTATTCATTTATTAAATTTATATACCGCCCTATTCCTAAGGGACTTTAACTTCTAAATGAGGTTTTATCTATTGCATAGTTTGTGACACAGATTATTCTGTTCTGTTCTATTCTATTCTATTCTATTCTATTCTTTCCATTATTCCCTCTCCCCTCCCCTCCCCTTCATTCCGTTATCCTATCCTATCCTATCCTATCCTATCCTTTCCATTATTCCTTTCCTCTCCTCTCCTCCTCTCCTCTCCCCTTCCCTCCCTTCATTCCGTTCTATTATTCTATTCTATTCTATTCTATTCTATTCTATTCTATTCTATTCTATTCTATTCTATTCTATTCTATTCTATTCTATTCTATTATTCCCTCTCCCCTCCCCTTCCCTTCATTCCGTTATCCTATCCTATCCTATCCTGTCCTGTCCTGTCCTGTCCTATCCTATCCTATCCTATCCATTCCATTATTCCTTTTCTCTCCTCTCCTCCCCCCTTCCCTCCCTTCGTTCCATTCCATTCCATTCCATTCCATTCTATTCTATTCTATTCTATTCTATTCTATTCTATTCTATTATTCCCTCTCCCTCCCCTCCCCTTCATTCCGTTATCCTATCCTATCCTATCCTGTCCTGTCCTGTCCTATCCTATCCTATCCTATCCATTCCATTATTCCTTTTCTCTCCTCTCCTCCCCCCTTCCCTCCCTTCGTTCCATTCCATTCCATTCCATTCCATTCCATTCCATTCCATTCCATTCTATTCTATTCTATTATTCCCTCTCCCCTCCCCTCCCCTTCATTCCGTTATCCTATCCTATCCTGTCCTGTCCTATCCTATCCTATCCTATCCATTCCATTATTCCTTTTCTCTCCTCTCCTCCCCACTTCCCTCCCTTCGTTCCGTTCCATTCCATTCCATTCCATTCCATTCCATTCCATTCCATTCCATTCTATTCTATTCTATTCCTTTCCATTATTCCCTTTCCCCTCCCCTCCCCTTCATTCCGTTATCCTATCCTATCCATTCCATTATTCCTTTTCTCTCCTCTCCTCCTCTCCTCTTCCCTCCCCTTCATTCCGTTCTATTCTATTCTATTCTATTCTATTCTATTCTATTCTATTCTATTCTATTCTATTCTAATTCTATTCTTTCCATTATTCCCTCTCCCCTCCCCTCCCCTTCATTCCGTTATCCTATCCTATCCTATCCTATCCTATCCTATCCTATCCTATCCATTATTCCTTTTCTCTCCTCTCCTCTCCCCTTCCCTCCCCTTCATTCTCTTCTCTTCTCTTCTCTTCTCTTCTTTCCATTATTCCCTCTCTCCTCCCCTCCCCTTCATTCTGTTATCCTATCCTATCTTATCCTATCCTATCCTTTCCATTCCATTATTCCTTTTCTCTCCTCTCCTCCTCTCCTCTCCTCTTCCCTCCCCTTCATTCCGTTCTATTCTGTTCCTTTCCTTTCCTTTCCTTTCCATTCCATTCCATTCCATTCCATTCCATTCCATTCCATTCTTTCCATTATTCCCTCTCCCCTCCCCTCCCCTTCATTCCATTATTCTGTTCTGTTCTGTTCTGTTCAAGTCTAGTCTTATTTCTCCTCTCCTCTCCTCTCTTTATTTCTATCTCTCTTCTGCTCTCCTCTCCTCTGTCCCTTAGCCGGGCGGCGTCCCCGGGCGCCGGGTTGAAGGGCCTTACAGGGGAGATTTCCCAGCACCGCCAGGGAAGAGGGGGCGGGGCCCGCCCAGAGCCCCGCCTTTTCGGCTCAGTCCGTCCCGTCAGTCCGTCCGTCGGGCGGGCGAGGGCGGGGCCTGCGGGCTGTTTCCACTGAGCGGACTGGGAAGCGGCAGCCATGGCGGCGGCGGCGGCGGCGGCGGCGTCGCAGGGCTTCTCCCCGGAGCGCCTGGCGCGCAAGTTAGCCAAAGCCGAGGCGCTGCTGGTGGAGCACGTGTCCCCGCCGGTGCGGGCCCGCTGGCGTTGGGCGGTGCAGCTGGACGGGCCGCCCGACCTGGAGCGCTTCTCCACGCAGCTCCGCGAGGCCCGGCGAGGCCGGGAAGCTCTGCTAGACCGGGACGCGGCGCTGTCGGAGCCCGAGCAGGAGCGGCTGCAGGGCTTGCTGCGGCTGGAGATGGCTCTCTTGCGCGGCATCCAAGCCTTGGTCGAGGGCCGCGCCCCGCCTAGGGCTACTACTGCGGCTACTACGGCGGCTACTACGTCGAGGCGGAGGCGCGGGAGGAAGCCGGCTGCGCTAAGGGCGGCCGTGCTGGGACTGGTGGCCGAGCTGGATGTGGCGAGGAGACAAAGCCTCCCCTGGGACGACGCGCTGGCTCTGCAGCTCGCCATGGAGGCGCTGCTGGAGAAGCGGCCCCGGGAGGCGATCCGGGCTCTGGAGCCGCTGCTGCGGGGGGGAAGGGCCCGCCCGGCCGAGAGGGCTGCTGGCTCTGACCCAGGCCCTGCAGGAGGAAGGCTGGGCCGAGCGAGGGGACGAGCTGCCCCTGCGGGAGCTGCGCCCCTTGCTGGAGAAAGGGCTGCGCCTGGTGCGCAAGGAGCTGCTGAGCTGGCGGGCAGCCGATCTGGAGGGCGCCGAGTGGGCAGGATCGCCGGAGATGGTGGTGGTGAAGGAGGAAGAGGAGGAGGAGGAGGAAGAAGAAGAAGTGACCCTGCCCAAAGTCCCAGGAGGGCAGGAAAGGATGGTGGTGAAAGAGGAAAAAGAAACCGCTCCGGATAGGATCGCGCCCAAAGTCCCACCGTGGCAGGAGACTGTAGTAGTGAAGGAGGAAGAGGAGGAAGAAGAAGTCACCCCAAATGGGACCGTGGCCAAAGTCCCCCTGCGGAAGGCAGGACTAGAACACGGGTCCCCCCGAGTGGCCTCCGTGGAGAGTTCCCCCCAAAACCGCTCCCGGGAGCATCATATGCCGAGAAAGATGCTGCCCGCTGATTTCAGGTCTCCCTTTGCGAAGGAGATGCGGGAGGAGGTGGACGCCCCCGGTTTGAAGGACGTCCCACGGAGGAGGAAGGACGTCGTCAGAAGAGGCCCCGGCAAGGAGGTTCTTGAATCGGGAAAGACGGTCGCCCCCGACTTCGGGTCTCCCCGTCCAAAGGAGGCGGCATCAGGACAGCAGGCGCAGACGGATGTCCGCTTTAAGAAGGGTGCCACTTACTTCAGGTCTCCCTTTGCAAAGCAGACAGGGGGGCTGCGGGGGGAGATGGGCGTCCCCGGTTTGAAGGACGTCCCATGGAGGAGGAAGGACGTCCCAAGAGGCCCCGTCAAGGAGCTTCTTGATTCGGGAAAGACGGTCGCCGCCGACTTCAGATCTCCCCGTCCAAAGGAGGCGGCATCAGGACAGCAGGCGGAGACGGATGTCTGCTTTAAGAAGGGTGCCCCGTGGAAGAAAATGGAGGACCTCCGGGATGTCCTGCGGGTCATCACCAGGAGGAAGATGAGGGCTCTGTCTTGCTCCTTATGGAAGCAAGGCCCTCGGAAGATGTGCAGCCGTCTCCACCAGCTTTGCCGCCAGTGGCTAAAGCCGGAAATGAACACGAAGGTTCGGATGCAGGACCTGGTGATCTTGGACCAGTTCCTGTCCTTCTTGCCCCCAGAGATGGAGAGCTGGATCCGGGAGTGTGGAGCAGAGACCAGCTGCCAGGCGGTTGCCCTGGCCGAAGGCTTCCTGATGAGCCAGGCAGAAGACCAGAAGGAGCAGAGAGAGACCCAGGTGAGAGACCTTCCCTTGGCAAGCTCAAAATAGGACGTCAAAGAATTAACTATGTGTTGGGATTCTTACAGGCTGTCGTTATGCAGGTAGTCCTTGACTTACGACCACAATGAAGCCCAGCGTTTCCGTTAAGTGAGACATTCGTTAAGCGAGTTTCACCCATTTCCTGCCACAGTTGTTAAGTGAACCACTGCAGTTGTTAAGCCAGTCACATGGTTGTTAAGTGAACCTGGTTTCCTCATTGACTTGGTTTGTCAAAAGGGGGAAATCGCATGACCGTGGGGCACTGCAACCGTCATAACTAAGAGTCAGTTGCCAAGGCTCTGAATGTTGGTCGCTTGACCGTGGGGAATGGTCGTAAATGTGGAAAATGGTCCCAAGTCACTTTGTTCAGGGCCGTTGTAACTTTGAACAGTCACTGAACGAATTGTTGTTAAGTCAAGGACTGCCTGTAAATGGGGAGGGGGAAAGATTTCCTCCTTGGAGGATGTATTTATTCCATGGAAGGCCGGATGCCCATCCTCCTTTCCCCTCTAGGACTTAACACTCTCTGTCCTTAACCCTTACATGGCATCTTGATTTTGGAGACATAGCTGACATGAACTATAAGGGTGGCCCTTTTTCATGAATGAAAGCAGGTCCAGTATTGGGTGTCATGTAAAGGAGGAGCTTGAGAAAGGGGGGGGGGTGTTGCTTCCTGGTCCCAAAGGGGCTTTTTTTTCAAATGGCAACTCGACACTTTCTTTTTTGCTTGAAGATATTTTTTTTTATTTATTTATATTTATTTATAATTCATATTTGTATACCGCCCTACTCCCGAAGGACTCAGGGCGGTGAACAGCCAGAATAAAATACAAAGACATACAAAAGTTAAAAAACTATTAAAAACAGATTAAATAATTTAGGCTCAAAGAACAAATTAAGACGTCCAATTTATCTAAAAAACATTTAAAACCCAATTTAAAAGCCAATTTAAAAGGGAGAGTTAGGCCAGTCCAGCCTGTTGTAATAAAAACATTTTTAGGGCGCGGCGGAAGATGCGTAAGTCTTGGATCCTCCGTATCTCCGGGGGGAGCTCGTTCCAGATGGCAGGTGCCCCCACAGAGAAGGCTCTCCCCCTGGGGGCCGCCAGTCGACATTGTTTGGCCGACGGCACCCTGAGGAGCCCCTCTCTATGGGAGCGAACTGGTCGGTGAGAGGCTACTGGTGGCAGAAGGCGGTCTCGTAAGTACCCTGGTCCTAAGCCATGGAGCGCTCTAAAGGTGGTAACCAGAACCTTGAAGCGCACCCGGAAGACCACTGGGAGCCAGTGCAGCTCGCGCAGGAGGGGGGGTCACATGGGAGTGCCGCATCGCTCCCGTTTTGCTTCTCATCCACGAAGCTTCTTCAGTTCTTTTTTTCCCCTGAAGACTTGAAGAAGCTTCCTGCATGAGAAGCGAAAGGTTCTTTAAGGAAAAACCAAGAAAAATCCAGTTGCCTTTTGGGAAAAAAAAAGCACCATGGTCTGGGGCAGAGGTCTCCAACCTTGGCAACTTTAAGACTTCTGGATTACAACTCCCAGAGTTCCCAGCAAAACTCCCAGAGCTCCCAGCAAAGTAGGCTGAGGAACTCTGGGAGTTTAAGTCCAGAAGTCTTAAGGTTGCCACGGTTGGAGACCCGTTGGCCTGGAGGACTGAGAATCGCCATAGACCTCCCCGCTCCCTTCTTAGCAAGGAAGCCCTCCAGCCCCTTCTTCCACCTGAGACCCTCCCTTTGTATTCCATCCACCACTCTTCTCCCCACCTCAGATTTTACTCTGCTTGAATTGTTATGAAACCCGCTGAAAAAATATCTTTATACTCTGGCTTTCAAAATGAGCTGCCGTGGCAGGAAGGGACCACCAGGGGGCTCCTTTGGAGTAGTGGCAGCCTGCGGAACTGGGTATGCGCCACTGCCTTTTGCCAGTCTCTGCTTCTCTCATTATCCAAACCAGGGGTCTCCAATCTTGGCAACTTTAAGACTTGTGGACTTCAACTCCCACAATTCCTCAGCCAGCTTTGCTGGGAGCTCTGGGAGTTTTGCTGGGAACTCTGGGAGTTGAAGTTCAGAAATCTTAAAGTTGCCAAGGTTGGAGACCTCTAATCCAGACCATGGTGCTTTTTTTTCCCCCAAAAGGCAACTGGATTTTTCTTAGTTTTTCCTTAAAGAACCTTTCATTTCTCAAGTCTTCAGGAAAAAAAAAGAACCGGGGATTCTGGGATTTGAAGTCAATTCTGGGAGTTGAAGTCCACAAGTCTTAAAATTGCCAAGATTGGAGACCCCTGATCCAAACCCAAGGAAAAGGCATAGAGCCGTGATGGCGAACCTATGGCACGCGTGCCACAGGTGGCACGCGGAGCCATATCTGTGGGCATGCGAGTGTTGCCCTAGCTCAGCTCCAGTGCACATGCATGCCGGCCAGCTGGTTTTCGGGCCTTCCGGGCCCACCGCAAGTTGGGAAACAGGCAATTTCCGGCCTCTGAAGGGCCTCTTGTGGCGGTGGGGGTGGGGAAGGCTGTTTTCACCCTCCCCAGGCTCCAAGAAAACCTCTGGAGCCTGGGGAGGGTGAAAAATGGGCCCATCGTGCCATCGCGTGCCAAAAGCGGGAGGGAGCGCGAGGGGGTGTCACGCGTGCATGGGGGGGTGGGGCATATTGGATTATGGGTGTGGGCACACACACACATGATACCCCCATGTTCCCCCCGCTTTTGGCACGCGATGGCAAAAAGGTTAGCCATCACTGGCATAGAGGGAGAAGGGAGCGCATCCAGAAAAGGCTTTCTCTGGCTTCCAACCCCTCTGCACCTTGCCCCCCCCCCCCCCGAACCCCCCCCCCCCCGGAGCAAAGAGGGTGCAGGAAATCCTTGCAGGAACCAGCAGCAGAGGCTGTGAGCCTCCCCTCTTCCTGTGAACGGCAAAAACTGCCATCTTCTTTAGAAGAAATGTGAGAAAGGCACAAGATTCAAGATTGCAGTTCCTGTTTTGGGGTGGGGGGGCAATGCTTGGGATGTCCCATCCTTGTATTTTTTGCATGCATCTTCAGGGTGAGGGAAAGCAGAGTGGATAAAAATCGATGATTTAAAAAAATAAATTTAAAAAAAATCAGATTTTTAAAAATTTAAATAGTTTTTAAAAAATTTTTTATCGAATTTATGTTAATAAAATGCTTTTGGAGTAAAAATCTATCTAAAGATAGTTTTCTGTTTAAGATACATTAATAATTTAGTTTATTCAGCATGAAATGGAGCTTAGTTCTGTAGCATGAGGCTGTATATTCTGCAATATTGGGACTGTCCGGTGAGTCAACAGCGGGTCAGAAGAGGAGCTGCTGCGGGACAGAGGTGACAGTTGCTCTTTAAAAATTAGGATTTAAATCGACTTGATTTAAATCAAATCCACCCTGACTGCAGGCTACTTCTGCTGACTGCCGGCTGCCTGCAATTTGGCAGTTCGAATCTCACCAGACTCAAGGTTGACTCAGCCTTCCATCCTTCCGAGGTGGATAAAATGAGGATCCAGATTGTTGGGGGCAAGAGGCTGACTCTGTAAACCGCTTAGAGAGGGCTATATAAGTGGTATATAAATCTAAGTGCTATGGCTATTTACTTGGCATGTTTGTTAAGTGAATTGCCACAGTGGTTTAATTAGTTACGCCGTTGTTAAGTGAATCCAGCTTCCTCGTTGACTTTGCTTATTGGAAGGTCGCAAAAGGGGATCACGTAACCCTGGGACACCGCAAACCATCATAAATATGAGTCAGTTATCAAGCATCTGAATTTTGATCACATGACCATGGGGATACTGTGAAGGTCGTAACTGAAAAATGGTCATATCACTTTTATTCAGTGCTGTTGTAACTTTGAACGGTCGCTAAATGGACTGTTGTAAGTCGAGGACTGCCTCTAGCATTAGGAAAATACTACGGAAAGGAGATGTTTAATGCCCATTGTTCCAGTAAGCGTCTGCTTCTTTTTCGTACGTTCCATTATTTGTACTTCTTTGTTTCTTTAGCGTCTTCCATTCCCGAGGACTGACTTGAAGCCCGTCGCTGAAAAACTGGAGAAAAAGAGGGATCCACCAGAGCGTTCCTGGGATCTGCTCTTCAGGGAGATCTTCCATGAAGATCAAAGTTGGGCCACCTCCATCAGTAAGAGAAGTTTCCTCAGAAAGAGGCACTTTTCCCCCCCCTCATTTTTCTAGACCCTCTTTTGCATAATGCTTATGAATAAAGTAATTACTACGTTTCTGAAAAAATGTATCTCAATTTTATCTCGCAGGAGAGTTGGCGTTCATAGATTCTTCTCCTTTTTTGGCTGGTGTTGAAAAAGCTGTTGAACATCCATCTCAGGTAGGAGCCGAAATGTCACGGATGATAGATCAGTTGGAGATAATTTTGTCATGTGGTAGAGAATCTATGAATTTACGAACCTATGAATGTAGAAGCTATGAATTTACATATAATAGAGCAGTGTTTTTCAACTTTGGCCGCTGGACGATGTGTGGACTTCAACTCCCAGAATTCTGGGAGTAGTAGAATTGTAGTAGAGAATCTACAAAGATTCTCAGCTATACAAGTCATAGTAAAAAGTGGTTTTTCCTTTGAAAAGGAACTGATACTGAGGAAAATCAAGATGTTTCACTTTCTATACTGGAAGCTTCATTTAGTTGAATTATTAACCACAACAGCTCTCAGAAAGTGTTAAGATCAGTTGACTGTAAAGGAAAAAAAAACACACAAACACAATCGTTCCATTCCTCACACACACACACACACACACACACCCCAATCCTGTCAGAACTCTTCCGCCTCCCACCAACTGATATCAACTGTCAATCACTGTCCTTCCGTCTCCCACAGCATCCAATACAAGAGATGAAGCTTCCAGGATGGGAAGTGAAAAGTCTGGTTTTTCCTCAAAAAAAATCAGTCCCGTTGCCTTTTTCAAAATGGAAACCACTTTTGATACCTCTGTATCAGTGATGGCTAACCTTTTTCTTTTTCATGTGCCGAAAGTGCATCCATAATGCAATGCGGAACCGTCTTGTGCATGCGTGCATGAGCCCCCCCATGCTCTCCCTCCCCCCGCACATGCGACCTCTGCATGCTCCCCCCGCACATGCTTGTGTGATCCCCCCCTTCCCCCTGTTTTTGGCCTAGCAGGCCTCTCTGAAGCCTCCTGGGCCCAAAAACGGGCTGGGGAGGCACACCCCACTCGCCCATGCTCTAACCCCGCCCCCCGCGCATGCATGCCTGACCCCCACCCCCATGCATGTGCGTGACCCCCCTGAGCATGCGTGCACCGCTCCCACATATGACTTTAGACAAAGTCAGCTTATTGCCCCCACAATCTGGGTCCTCATTTCACCTACCTCGGAAAGATGGAAGGCTGAGTCAACCTTGAGCCTGGTGAGAATTGAACTCGCAGTAATTGCAGGCAGCTGGCAGCTAAGTGCTACTTTAACAGCAGTTTTAGTCCGCTGCGCCACCAAGGCCACCAAGATATTGGAAGACTGCTATCATGTCTCCCATAGTCCTTCTTTTCATTAAACGAGACATACCCAGTTCCTGCAACTGTTCTTCATATGTTTTAGCTTCCAGTCCCCTAATCATTAGTTTCCATCTGTTGCTTCTTGTCCTGCCCTCTGGTCCTTTGGAAAATAAGTTGACCCCCTCTTCTTGGTGACAGTCCCTCAAATAACTAGTAACCCTCTCCTACGCGAGCTGCACTGGCTCCCGGTGGTCTTCCGGGTGCGATTCAAGGTGTTAGTTATCACCTTTAAAGCGCTCCATGGCTTAGGACCTGGGTACCTACAAGACCGTCTTTTGCCACCAATAGCCTCCCACCGACCAGTTCGTTCTCACAGGGAGGGACTACTCAGGGTACCATCAGTCAAATTATGTCGACTGGCGACTCCCAGGGGGAGGGCCTTCTCTGTGGGGGCTCCAACCCTTTGGAATGAACTGCCCCCGGAGATACGGAATATCCCTGATCTCTGTGCTTTCCGCCATGCCCTCAAGACCCTGATGTTCCAACAAGCGGGGCTAAACATATGAACATGTGAATGTTTTTAAAATGTTATCTAATTTTAGGTTCTATTTAATTGGGCCAAACTATGTTATAATAATAATTTTAATTAGCAATTTTATGATGTTTGTGTATCTATATTTTTCTTGACTTTACACCGCCTTGAGTCCTACGGGAGAAAGGCTGTATAGAAATAAAATAAATAAATAAATAAATAAATAAATAAATAAAATAAAAAAAAATATTGGAATACTGCTATCATGTCCGTTCCCCCCCCCTTCTTTTCTGGAGAGTATCCATACCCAATTCCTGCAACTTTCTTCATATGTTTTAGTCTCCAAGCCTTTTAATCATAATTGTTACCCACTTTCTCATGTAGTGTGCTTTCTGCAGAAACGTTGACATTAAATCGAGATACGTGAACTGACAGTTTCCTTGCAACGGGTTCTTAACCCTACAGACAAGGCCCGTTTGACCCCTTGCAAATCTCTGTGTTATGTATCGTTGAGCCAAAAGGAGAGACCTCGCAAATAAAACTGACTCTTCTATTTCACACAGGTTCTCGTGTCTTTTCAAGAGGTGGCCGTGCATTTTTCTGAGGAGGAATGGTCTCAGCTAGATCCTGATCAGAAATCTCTGTACCGAGAAATCATGCTGGAGAACTCCAGAAATTTAGCCTTTCTGAGTAAGGATCCCCGCTCTTTGTTCTGATGGTTAGAAGAAATGGTTGGGAAAATGCGGCGCTGTTTTTTATCTTCTTGGTGAGAGATTGATTAAATGGCACCAGATTATCAATGTTATTATGTTGACTGCTAAAACTCCTTCCTCTTTCCACTATCAACTATTACTTTTCTCCAGATAATGGCAGGTATTTCAAGACAAGCAAGCAAAATTTCAGGTAGTCCTCGACTTACGACAGTTCGTTTAGTGACCGTTCAATGTTACAACGGTACTGAACAAAAGGGAATTACGACCATTAGTTACACTTACAAACGTTGCACCATCCCATGGTGCTCATGCAATTTAAGTTTGGATGCTTGACAACTGGTTCCTCTTTATGACGGTTGCTGTGTCATGTGCTCACTTTTTGCGACCTTCTGGCAAAACAAAGCCAACGAGGTGGGGCGGGGAGCCAGATTTACTTAACAACCATGCTACTAATTTAACAACTGTAAGGATTCGCTTAGCCACTGCGGCCAAAAAAGTCGTAAAACGGAGCAAATCTCAATGCATTTCTCTCTTAGCAACACAAATTTGGGGCTCAGTTGGGGTCGTAAGTCGAGGAGCACCTTTAGAGCTAGTTAGCACAGCTCCTTGCTGCCGTTGTCTCCCTTGTCCACCTCCAGAATAAATATTATAAACTTCTTTTCTCCGATTCCTCACTTCCTTAAACTGAATTCCAGCTGTGACTTGACAGGAATCCCTAAGTAGAATTATGGAACATCATCCCCTCAGAGATTAGAATGGCCCCCACTCTAGCACTCTTCCGGAAGGAGTTGAAGGCCTGGTACTGCCAGCGGGCAGAGCGGGATGGATCCCATTAAATGGCTCGTGTGAGGTGCTGTCGCTGGGGTGAGGGGTGATTTTATTATATTAATTTATTATATGACTCTTTTTTTAATTAGTTTTGTTGTTTATATATGAGGTTTTATATTCTGTAAGCAGCCTTGAACTGCCATGTGCAAATAGGTGGCAATATAAATTGCCTAAATAAATAAATAAATAAATAGGTAAAGATTCCCCTCGCACATATGTGCTAGTCGTTCCCTAGGGGACGGTGCTCATCTCCGTTTCAAAGCTGAAGAGACAGCGCTGTCCAAAGACGTCTCCGTGATCATGTGGCTGGCATGACTAAACGCCAAAGGCGCACGGAACTCTTATCTTCCCACCAAAGGTGGTCCCTCTTTTTCTACTTGCATTTTTTAGGTTGGCAGAAGCTGGGACAAGTAATGGGCGCTCACCCCGTTACGCAGCACTAGGGATTCGAACCGCTGAACTGCCGACCTTTTGATTGACAAGCTCAGCGTCTTAGCCACTGAGCCACCGCGTCCCTCTAAATAAATAAATAAATAATCCATAAATAAATAAATTAAAAAATCATTTATTGAACAAAGTGGTGTAACAGTGCAAGTGACCTTGGTCCAGTCACACCGTCTTTGCCCATCTCACCTCACAGGGTGGTTGTTGTGAGGAAAATAGGAGGAGGAGGACATTCTGATGGTTATGTTTGCCACTTTGAGTTATGTGCAAAAATAATGGAGTGTGGGGGGGACACATATAAATAAATACACGTGCTCCTTTATTGAAGCAAGTGGGTTTTTTTTATTGTTTAAGAAGCTCATAAAATAGAAGTAACCCACTTCTATCCTGTGTGGTTTTATTCATATAAACGTTACAATAACCTGTCCCTCAAAGTCCACATTTTGTAAGGCTTAGATCAGGGGTCTCCAGTCCCTCAGCTGCGGCCCACTACCGGGCCGTGGCCCATTTGGAAGTGGACTGCGCAAGTGGCGAGCAAACATGCATGCGCACCCAGTTCCACTTATGTGACTGGTGGGCAATTGCACTTGCAGCTCCACTCATGAGAAGTGTGTGCGTGTGTGAGCTCACACACATGTGCCTGCTATTCGCACGGAACTACCCCCTCTTCCACCAACACCATCCACACCAGGGCGCCAGGCTGGAAAGGTTGAGACCAGAGTATTCAACATTAATCAGCAGAACACCTTTCCAAATAGTGCAGAATCCTCGATAGAATTACACTAGGACAGTGATGGCGAACCTTTTTTGCCATCACGTGCCAGGAGCGGGGGAGGGGAGGTCGCATATGCACACCGCCCCTGCGCGTGTGTGCGACCACCCCCACTTCCCCTCCTCCCCCTGATCCTGGCACGTGATGGCCCACTTTTCTCTCTGCAAGCTCCAGAGCCTTTCTAGGAGGCCTTCCCCCCCCACCCTGGAGGCCCTCAGGAGTCAGGAAATGGGCCGTTTGTCAACTTCAGGTCCATTTTCTGCCTCTGGAGGGCCTCCGGGGTGGGTGGGGAAGGCCTTTTTCGCCCTCCCCAAGCTCCTAGAAAGGCTCTGGAGCCTGAGGAGAGAGAAAAATGGGCCTCCCCCCCCCCGAGGCCCTCCGGAGACAGAAAACACGCTGGAGCTGAGCTCGCGTGCCCTCTGATATGGCTACGTATGCCACCTGTGGCACACATGCCATGGGTTCGCCATCACAGCACTAGGACATTTTATTTCCTGTGCTGTGAATTCTTATTTTGCTTCCCCTACCTTGCCTCAATTTTCATTCGTTCGTTTTTTCTGAAGGAAATCACGTTCAAGAGAACAAGGAAACCTTCCAAAGATTCGGCGATGAAGGGAGGAGAGCTGAGTTTGCAAATCCAACGGAAACAAAAGAGCACGAAAGAAATCTGTCAGGAAACGACAGCAAGAACAGCCCAAATTCGCCCTCTCCTGAAATTCAAGACTCTCTTCCCAAAGGAGATCCGAAAGACAAAATAAAAGTGGAAAGCACGGAAACATCTGAAGAAGGCTTAGATTTATATGAAGAACACACAATTCGCACTAAAGAAGAGACTCTGGGCCAAGAGGATGAAGAAAATTACAGCAATAGGACTACTCTCCTTTCTGAACGTGGAAAAACCGACGTGGGAAATAAACTACATAAACAGAACGGGAAACCCTTCGATGAAAGAGGTTCCTTTGCTCCCAGGGAAAGGATTAATTCAGGGGAAAAGCCATATAAATGCATGGAATGTGGGAAGAGTTTCAGCCAGCGCAGGTATCTTACTTCCCATAAAATAATCCACACGGGGGAGAAACCATTTAAGTGCACAGATTGTGGAAAGAGCTTTAACCACAAGGCTAATCTTAATTCCCATAGAATGAATCACACGGGAGAGAAACCGTATAAATGTAACGAGTGTGGAAAGAATTTTACCCACAACTTTCAACTTACCTCCCATAAGAGGATACACACCGGGGAGAAACCGTACAAATGCACGGTATGCGGAAAGCGTTTCAACCAGCGCAGTAACCTTAATTCTCATAAAAAAATCCACACAGAAGAAAAACCACATAAGTGCACCGAGTGTGGAAAGAGATTTACTCAGAAGGGTAACCTTAAATCCCATAAAAGGATCCACGTTGGGGAGAAACCTCATAAATGCAAGAAGTGTGGAAAGGCATTCCATTAAAAATGGGTCAGCGGTCCCCAGCTTTTATAGTTTGATGGCCTGGCAGTGTGTATGTGAGGGCATAAGCGCTAGCTTGTGCAAATTGAGCTGAGTGCGCGCTGGCTCACCACTCACACAAATTGGGCTGTGTATGTCCATACGCCGGCCTGCCGCTCACACCACCCAGTTCTGAACGGGCCAGAGCCTGGTAGTGTGCTGCGGCCCAGGAACTGGGGACCCCTGCCTTCACTTCCCCCAAAATGATCCATATTGGGGAGAAGCCGTGTAAATGCTTGGAAAGTGGAAAGAAATTCTGCAAAAAATTCCATGAAACCCATCAGTTCAGAGGTCCAGCGTTTGAGCTTCCGAAGTGTCCTCTTTCAGGACAATATGGGGCCCAAAGAGATTTCCACCTGCCTACACCACCACAGCCATCGGTGGCTGAATCCAGAAAGACAACCGCATTTTCAGAGGCTGAATCTGTTGCACCTGGAACAGTTCTCGGGTCCTGGCCTTGGCCAGAGCCTTCCTCCTGAGCCAGATGGAGGACAGGACAGGCGGCAAGTGGGAGACTCCTTGGCAAACTCTAAATTTGATTTTAATTAATAAAAACTGTTTGAATTCTGAAAGGGCTTCCTATCTTGAATTGTTGGATTTAATAACAACAGATGTTTCAAGGCAAATTGTTCCACTTCCTTGTCCAATAGGACTCAGGGCGGTGAAAATAAAAACAAAACATACAAAATTTAAAAACAGTTTAAAATAATTAAATATTTTTGGCTGCAATTTAAAACAAACCCAATTTAAAATCAATTAAAATTTAATCCAAAACTGTGGGATCAAGCCAGCCCGGCTAGTTGAAATAAATAAGTTTGCAGGGCCCGACGAAAAGTCCAGAGGTCTGATATTGTACGTATCTCTGGGGGGAGGTTGTTCCAGAGGGCAGGCGCCGCCACAGAGAAGGCTCTCCCCCTGGGGGTCGCCAGCCGACACTGTCTGGCGGACGGCACCCTGAGGAGGCCCACTCTGTGCGAGTGTACTGGCCGGTGGGAGGCTATTGGTGGCAGAAGGCGGTCTCGTAGATACCCCGGCCCTAAGCCATGGAGCGCTTTAAAGGTGGTCACCAACACCTTGAAGCGCACCCGGAAGACCACCGACAATCCCAGCGACACTTGTCCATCCCAGACAATATATTTTGGAGAAATTCTTCCGCTGTCGCCTTCCATTCTTGTCTGCTGTAATAAATGATTAGGCAGCTCCCCATTGGACACTGTGTCAGGATGTTGCCTCTGGCCGCATCCTAGGGAAGACAAATCCTTGGCTTCATAGATTTAGAGAAAATTACTTTTCCTAGGAACGAACTGAAAGCAAGAAATTCCAGGCAAGCTCTGAGGCAAAGTGGGCGAAAACAGCAACTTGAAACAAACTGTACAGCCCAAATCCCTTGTAGCTAGGCAACCAGAGGCTGCTGCATACCAGAGCTAACAGAAATGGCCTTGGAGAGAGAAGCGAAATCCAGACCGTAGTTGCAAAGCTGCAATGAAAACTTCTCCACTGATCCCTCCCCCCCCTTTTCTATGGCAGCAAGCAGCAGCCTAGCTGACACAACCCCAAGGCCACAACCCACACTGCCAGTTCAGACACCCCAAATAAAACAGAATAACAGAGTTGGAAGGGACCTTGGAGGTCTTCTAGTCCAACCCCCTGCTCAAACAGGAGACCCTATACCAGTGATGGCGAACCTTTTAGACCAGTGGGTCTCAATCTTCCTAATGCCGCGACCCTTTAATACAGTTCCTCATGTTGTGGTGACCCCCAACCATAAAATTATTCCTAAGACCATTGAAAATATGTGTTTTCCGATGGTCTTAGGCGACCCCTGTGAAAGGGTTGTTCGACCCTCAAAGGGGTCCCGACCCACAGGTTGAGAACCACTGTTTTAGACACTGAGTGCCCAAACTCTGTCCGTGCGCATGCCCAAACTGAAAGGTGCACATGCGTGCGCGAACGTGCGTATGTTCAAATAGGCACATGTGCGGACATGCGTGCATGCACAGCAGAGACCCAAAGACCCAAAGGAGGTGGGGCATCCAAACACCACCAGCACGGCAAGAGGTAAGATCTTTTTCTTTCGTGAACTTCTGTTTTGTCGTTTGCAGGGAAACAGAAGCTCACAAAAGAAATGCCACAGAGATCTGACGGCGCGCGTGCCAGCATAGAGGGCTCCGTGTGCCACCTCTGGCACCCGTGCCATAGGTTCGCCATCACGGCCTTACACCATTTTAGACAAATGGTTGTCCAATCTCTTCTTAAAAACCTCCAGAGTTGAAGCACATCTCTTGACTGAGCCACTGCTGGAAAGATTCACCCAGGATTTAACGGGCACTTTCCCTATTTGAACAATCCCATTATGTTATATTCTTTATCAATTTATATTCTTAACCTACCCTAAAGTTCTAATACGATGGATGTTTCTTCTTGTGTTCAAAATATTAAAATTTATCAAAGCTGCTATCTCTCCTGATTTTTCTCCTTTTCAAATTATTCCTCCTTTAAACACTCCCTTTGCAACTGAAGAAAATTAGCACCCACTCCTCTTAGAAAAATGAAATATTTTAGGAAATATTTAAAAAGCAGAATATTATATTTTCCCTAAAGGAGAAAACATGTTTCTAAAGACATAAATTCATAGCCTCAGCTTTCTGCCCCCAAGTAGAAACTTAAAAGGGCCAACTTTTAGAAATGCAGATTTGGTGATCCATTCAAGCCTCAGCTCTCTGCCCCAAGTGGAAACTAAGGGGCCAACTTTTAGAAATGCAGATTTGGTGATCCATTCAAAACTCCAAGGAAGTCGGCATCTAGGATTAATTACATTTGTTAAGCAAGACTAAAAACCCCAACTCATTGCTTGCCTTCCGGAGACAAACTAATTAAAATCAAATAACAAAAGACACAAAACAAGCCTCTAAATTACAAAATGCTGTAAGAACAAACTCTATAAAAATCCAGGGGCTCATCAAACCAGCTACCCAGAATTACACATGTTTGGTGGCTCTGCTTCACCATTAAACCATCATTCCAATCAGCCTCCATTTTCCAGTAACTTTCTCCCCACTTGGAACTGAACCCAGATGGAGATTTCTTCCAACACAGCCCTTACATTTCCCTCCCTTGGTATAATTCCTGAGCTATTTTTTTTCAAAAAAGGTGATGCTTTAAATATGTATTTTCTCTCCTTGAGGTCTCTTTAAATATTGTATCATTTTCTTCAGGGTTTTCATCCCTTATCTGCCTGTGGCTCTCCCTATCTTGGTAGCCTGTGAATAAAGTGACGTCATAATCTTATAACTGCTGAGGGAAACCTTTTAGAACGGAACCACGAGATCAAAGATTCAAAAGCGCTATTATTTTGTAGGAGAAATATCCTTATGTGGTGCTTCTGAAACCACATTTCAGAATATTTATCATATTGCTCAAGTAGAATTTTCCCTTCAGACCTTTTAGAAAGAGAGCTCTTTTCCGATGTTCCATGTCCAGTTGAGTCTCAGTTTATTGATTATTTATTACATTTATTGGCTGCCCATTTTACTGCAGGGTAACCGGGTGGTTTACAATTGTAAAAAAATCCCCCCCCCCTCTTTCTCTCGCTCTCCAGATAGTCCTCAACTTACAACAGTGGGATGTGGCATCTGAGGCAAGCAGATCATGAGACACTATGGGATTTGCCTGTTCATTAGGTGGCTCAGTGGCTAAGACACTGAGTTTGTCGATCAGAAAGGTCGGCGGTTCGAATCTCTAGTATAGGTCTCCTGTGTGAGCAGGGGGTTGGACTAGATGACCTCCAAGGTCCCTTCCAACTCTGTTACTGTTAAACTTAGAATAGAATAGAATAGAATAGAATAGAATAGAATAGAATAGAATAGAATAGAATAGAATAGAATAGAATAACGAAGTTGGAAGTTGCCTTCGGAAGTTGTGGGAGCTTCATCACTGGAAGCTTTCAAGAAGAGACTGGACTTCCATTTGTCAGAAATGGTATAGGGCAGAGGTCTTCAAACTTGGCAGCTTTAAGACGTGTGGACTTCAACTCCCAGAAACCTCCAGCCAGCTATGCTGGCTGGAGGATTCTGGGAGTTGAAGTCCACACGTCTTAAAGCTGCCAAGTTTGAGGACCCCTGGTGTAGGGTCTCCTGCTTGGGCAGAGAGGAGAGGGTTGGACTAGATGACCTCCAAGCTCCCTTCCCACTCTGTTATTGAAGAGCCTTGGTAGCACAGTGGTCTAAGGCACCCTGTTATTAATCTGGTTATTAAGACAGCTGCCTACAATTACTGCAGGGTTCGAATCTTGCCAAGGCTCAAGGTCGACTCAGCCTTCCATCCTTTCTAAGGTAGGTAAATTGAGGACCCAGTTTGTGGGGGGGCAATAAGCTGACTTTGTATAAAATATACAAAAAGGATGAAGGCTATCGCTGAGCACATTGTAAGCCGCCCTGAGTCCCCGGAGAAGGGCGGCATATAAATCAATTTTTTTTAAAAAAAATTCTATAATTCTGGGCCAAAAAAGTTTAATTTGATTTTATCGGGTTTTTAAATGTTGTGTATTTATGTATTTTATTGTTGGCTGTTCACCGCCCTGAGTCCTTCGGGAGTAGGGCGGTATACAAATCAAATAAACTAAACTAAACTAAACTATATTCCTATCTGAATGCAGAACTAAACTAAACTATATTCCTATCTGAGTGCAGAAGATGCCACCTTTCATCAAGCGGCGCCCGCGGGCCCTCGGTTGAAGAGCCGGGAGCAGGGGGGGGGGATTCCAGCTCGCAGAAAGACGGAAAGGGGGCGTGGTTCACGAAGCCCCGCCTTTGGGGGGGGAAGGAGGGGCCAACAAAGGAGGGCGGGGTTCCCGCGCCTGCTTACCGCGGGAAGTTAGAAGCAGAGCGAGGGGAGCGCGCGATGGCGTTGCTGGGCTTCTCCCCGGAGCAGCTGGCGCGCAGGCTGGCCGAAGCGGAGGCGCTGCTGGCGGCGCACGTCTCGGAGCCGATCCGGGCCAGCTGGTGCTGGGCGCTGAAACTGGCAGAGCCGCCGGATCTGGAGCGCTTTTGCGCCGAGCTCAACCAAGCCCGGCGAGGCAGGGAGGCTCTGTTAGCCGGGGACGCGGTTCTCTCCGAGGACAGGCAGGAGCGGCTGCAGGGGTTGCTGCAGTTGGAGATGGCTCTCCTCCGCGGCATCCAAGCGCTGGGCGAAGGCGCGGATCTGCTGCGGGCGGCGCTGCTGAACGTGGCGGCTGGGCTGGAAGAGGGAGAGATGGGATCGAGTTTGCCCGGGGAAGCCGCCGTCGCTCTGCAGCTCGCCCTGGAGGCGCTGCTGGAGAAGCGGCCGCGGGAAGCGCTCTGGGCGCTGGAGTGGCTGGTGAGGGAGGAAAGGCGAGCCCGGCCGCGGCGGCGGGTGCAAGCCCTGATCCGAGCCCTGCGGGAGGAAGGCTGGGCCGAGCGAGGAGACCAGCTGCCGCTGGAGGAGCTGCGCCCGCTGCTGGAGAAGGCGCTGCGCCTGGTGCGCAAGGAGCGGAGTTGGCCACATCTGGAGGAAGCTCCTCAAGGGACCTCGCGAAATGTCTCCCCCGAGCAGGCACAGCCTCATCAGGAGTCAGGAAAGACTGTGCAGGTAGCCCTCGACTTACGGCCACCGCGGAGGCCGAGCTTCCTGTCGTGAAGCGAGACGTTGGTTGAGTGAGTTTTTGGTTTGTGGAGCGAGTTTGGTCCCATTTTACGACCTTTCTTGCCCCAGTTGGGAAGCCAGTCGCTGTACAGGTAGCTCTCGACTTACGACCACAATGGAGCCCAATATTTCTGTCGTTAAGTGAGTCGCTTCATAAGGGGGTTTTGCCCCGTGTTACGACACTTCTTGCCACGGTGGTTATAAGTGAACCCCTGCAGTTGATATGTTGGTCACACGCTCGTTAAGTGAGATTCATTCCAACCCGTTGACTTTGCTCCTCGGGGTTGCAAAAGGGGTGAGTGGGTGGGTGGGTCACATGACCCAGGGATGATGCAACGGTCATAAGTATGGACCAGTTGCCAAGCATCTGAATTTTGATCACGTGGTCGTGGGGAATGCCGCAAAGGGTCGTCAAACTGAAAAACGGTCACGTTTTTCAGCGCCGTCGCAACTTTGAACGGTCCTTAAACGAACTGTTGTAAGTCAAGGACTACCTGTGTCCACCGACTTCTGCTTTTCCCTCATCCAAAGGAGCTGCAGGCAGAGACAAATCTCCCTTTTAAGAGTGATGCTCCGTGGAGGAACGCGAAAGATCTTCAGGATGCCCTGCGGGAAATGACCAGCAGGAAGACGAGTGCGCTGCCACCCGGCTTGTGGGACCAGGGCCCCCGGAAGATGTGTAGCCATCTCCACCAACTTTGCCGCCAGTGGTTGCAGCCGGAAAAACACACAAAGGGACAGATGCTGGACCTGGTGATCCTGGAGCAGTTCCTGGCTCTCCTGCCCCCAGAGACGGAAAACTGGGTGCGGGAGTGTGGAGCAGAGACCAGCTCCCAGGCGGTGGCCTTGGCCGAAGGATTTCTCCTGAGCCAGGCAGAGGAGAAGAAGGAGCAGGGAAAGATGCAGGTGAGAGTCCGTCATCTGGCAAGCCCGAAAGGGATCTCAAGAAATAACCATTTATAGGAATTTTTACAGGGGTCCTTAACAGGTTTGTGAAGATACTTAGGAGATGTTGAACTCTCAATCAATCAGAATAGAGCTGGAAGGGACCTTGGAGGTCTTCTAGTCCAACCCCCTGCTCAAGCAGGAAATCCTATACCCATGATGGCGAACCTATGGCATGTGTGCCACAGGTGGCGCATGGAGCCATATTGGTGGACACGCAAGTGTTGCCTTAGTTCAGCTGCAGTGCGCATATGTGCGCCAGTCAGCTAATTTTCGGGCCTTCCGGGCCCACCAGAAGTTGGCAAATGGGCTGTTTCTGGCCTCTGGTGGGGTAGGGAAGGCCATTTTTGCCCTCTCCAGGCTCCAAGAAAGCCTCTAGAGCCTGGGGAGGACAAAGAACGGGCCTACCAGGCCCACCGTGCCATCGTGTGCCAAAAGCAGGCAGAGTGCAGGGAGTCACACGTGCATGTGCGGGGGGGAGGACACTTTGAATTATGGGTGTGGGCATGCACACGCGTGACCCCCCCCTGTGGTCCCCCCCCCCCGCTTTTGGCACTTGGTGGCAAAAAGGTTAGCCATCACTGTCCATTTCAGAAAAGTGACTGTCCAGGCTCTTCTTAAAAACCTGATGTCAGCACTCCAAACTACATTCGTTCCAGTGCTGACATAAGGAGGAGAAGAGGGGGCAGCTGGCAAGAGGACACTTGACTTTTCACCTACTTATTTTCCCTGAAGATAATATCCCCTAGGAGATGGGTTGGGAGGGGGGACATTCCTGGGAGCTGAAGTAGTAGATATGGGGAGAGTGATTTGGAAGATGGCCAATGAGACCCAGAGAATTGGGGAACGGAAAGGGAAGGTTTGGGGTCAGGAAGTCAGTGTTGGCTACGACATAATCGGGGACAGATTGTCGTGCTTAATAAATGAAAGATTTCATCAAAGATTATTTGTTTGGAAAAGCAATTTATTTGAGACGATACCGAAACCTGACACCTCCAGTGATGAAACACCTGCAACTTCTGAAGGCAACTTCTGCTCCACTGGTTAATTGTCCTCACTGTTAGGAAGTTTCTCCTCAATTCCAGGTTGCTTCTCTCCTTGATCAGCTTCCATCCATTGCTTCTTGTCCTGCCTACAGGTGCTTTGGTAAATAAATTGACCCCCTCCTCTTTGTGGCAATCTCTCAAATACTGCTATCATGTCCCCCTTTTGTCCTTTTGTCTCTAAACTAGCCAAACCCAAATCCTGCAGCCGTTCTTTATGTGTTTTAATCTCCAGGCCTTTGATCATCTTAGTTGCTCTTCTTTGCACTTTTCCCAAAGGCTCAACAGCTTCTTTGTAATGCGGTGACCAAAACCAGAGGCAGTATTCCAGGTGTGGCCTTACTAAGCCTTTATAAAGTGGTACTAATACTTTGCGTGATTTTGATTCTTATGCCTCTGTTTATACTACCAAGGATTGTATTAGTTTTTTTGGCTCCTGCCACACACCCTTGGCTCATATTCTTGAGCTGACAGTAAGAATTTGCTTCTTTTTCATAAATTCTCTTACTTGTATTTTTTTTTTTTTTTTTTCTTTTCCTGGTCCATCAGTTCCAAGGACTGAACTTGAACTCTGAGAATCCGGAGGAAAGAAGGGACAAACCAGATTATTATGGGGACCTGCTCTTCAGTGGGATCTTCCATGAAGAACCAAGTCAGGACACCTCCTCAGGTAAGGGAAGGTTCCTTGGAAAGAAAGGATTTTTTTCAGATTCTCTGGGCCCTGTTTTGTTTTTTTTTTTAATTTGATTTATATGCCGCCCTTCTCCGGAGACTCAGGGCGGCTTACAGTGCGTTAAGCAATAGCCTTCATACTTTTGTATATTTTATACAAAGTCAGCTTATTGCCCCCACAAACTGGGTCCTCAATTTACCTACCTTAGAAAGGATGGAAGGCTGAGTCAACCTTGAGCCTGGCGAGATTCGAACTTACTTTAATTGCAGGCAGCTGGTGTTAAATTACAGTGTTTTAATCTGCAGAGCTATCCAGGCTCTGCTCTGTTTTGTATCATACTAGCCCATCCATATCTTAATAACTATGTTTCTAAAAATTCTGCTTATGTCACTTTTACCTCACAGGGAAAGGAAAATCTGCATTCATAGGTTCTTCCGTTTCTCGTGAAGTTGAAGAGCCAGTTGAACCCCAAACTCAGGTAGGAGAGGAAATTAAGGTACAAGCATCAGTTGGAGGTCTCTTTCAATGGACTCTACATATGATATTGGGCTCAGTGTCATCTGAATGTTGATGGCACCCCAAAAATCAAAATGGTTTATGAGCTTTCCCCCCACATTCTTCTGAAGGGCAGGATTGATCCATTAGGACCCCTAGTCCATTGGCTAAAATGTTAGAGTCGGGAACGACTAGCACAAATATGTGCAAGGGGACACTTTACCTTTACTTTACCAATGTTACATCAGTCGAAATCTCCGATAGTTCTTTCCACATCAGATTTTTAACCCTGCAGAAGATTCCTGTTTAACCCACGGCAAATCTTTGCTTTGGGATTCTTGAACCAAAGGAGAGAATTTGCAAATGCAATTGGTTTTCTCATAGGGGTATGCATTTTTTTCTTCTTTTTTTTTTTGCAGGTTCTTGTCTCTCTAAAGGAGGTTACTGTGTGTTTCTCTGAAGATGAATGGTCTCGGCTAGATCCCCTTCAGAAAGCCCTGCACAGAGACGTCATGCTGGAAAATGCCAGAAATGTGGCCTTTTTGGGTAAGGGCCCCTGCCTTGTCTTTTGATGCTTGGAAGAAATATTTTACGGATAGATAAAATATAGATTCGTCACTTTTCAGTGCTGTTGTACCTTCAAATGGTCACTAAATAAATGGTTGTAAGTTGAGGACTGCCTATATATTCGTTTTTCCTGGTTAATAGGCATTTCAAATTAGACCATTTAGCACAGCTCCTTGCTTCCCCCCTTTTCCACCTCTACAATAAATACTACAAGCTTTTTTCCCAATTCCTTATTTCCTTAAATGGAACTCCATCTGTCAGTAGAATTCGAGAAATAAAACAAATTTATTGAGAACAACAGAGCAGATGTGCCCCTTTATTTAAACAAATGTATTTTGTGACAGTTTAAGAAGCTCGTAAAATAGAGGTGGTCCATTTTCATACTGTGCAGTTTTACAGGTAATCCTCGACTTACAACAGTTCATTTAGTGACCGTTCGAAGTTGCAACGGCAGTGAAAAATGTGATTTATGACCATTTTTCACACTTATGACTGTCCCAGCATCCTCATGATCATGTGATTTGCATCCTCAGGGTCACATGATTGACAACTGACTCACATTTATTTTTTTGCATGTAAGATTTTTATTTTTGCTATAAGTAGAAAAAGCAACCTTTTCAATATCCATATGAACAGTGTGTTGTCTGGTTACAATTACTTTGAGCAATCTTCATCCTGGTTCGTAATAATATTCTTCAGTAATAGTCCTGTAATAACAATGCTTTCTTATAAAATTAATACATGTTAATTATTAATACTAATCAAAGTTAATAACAACATATAGTAATCAGCCCTCATAATAAAACTAATCCTTCTCTTGTGGTTTTAAAGGTTCTAACTTCTGTTTCTATTGTTTAACCATAGATAAAATGAACCCCATATTTCAAAATATTCAGTGTCTTCCTTCTTCTTAATTTCAAGTGCTAACAGTTAATCTATTCATTTCTGCACATTCTAATCTTTTTTTTATTATCTTCTCTTCTGTAGGGATCTCCTCACCCTTTCAATATTGTGCAAATATACAATTCTGGCCGCTGTTAACACATATAATATTAAATACATATTCCCTTTACCATATTTTCCTGGTATGATATCCAACAAGAATATTTCTGGTTTAAATCTGTATGTTCCTTTATCATTTTTTCTATTTGTATGTATTTTTGTCCAATATATTTTTGCCTTTGGGCACGTCCACCACATATTGTAGTACGAGCCCGGAATCTGGATATACTTCCAACATTTAGCAGACATACCTTTGAACATCTTGGCTAATCTAGCTGGTGGGAAGTGCCATGTATAATACATTTTATATACCGTATTTTCCGGCATATAAGACGACTTTTTAACACATGAAAATCTTCTCAAAAGTCGGGGGTCGTTTTATACGCCAGGTGTCATCTTATAAGCCGCTATACGGCGTGCTGAAACTTACTTCTGAGCCGGACTGGAAAAGTTGTCCTTCTCCAGCTTCAGGGACAGGCGCCCTCTAGCTGAGCCACCGTGCGCTGCATCCCGGCCAGCCGCTCCTGGAGCAGCCCCCTCTCCCTGCTCTCAGTGGTTTTCTCATGCCGGCAGTATCACATTGCGTACTACCGCTCGGATCGTCTTGGAGACAGGGAGGGCTGGGCAGGCAGGGAGAGCTGACCCACCCAATCCAAGCAGGCTTTGTATGCAGTGTGCACAGAAAATACATCACTTGCCGTGATTGGCTGGTTATTGTATACTGGGTTGGATTGGCGATTCTGAGGGAAGGCAGGGGGGAAGCAGGAGCATCTGCACTTCAGCCAATTCTAATGTTGGAACGGCGGATCTCTATTGAAGTTTGGTGTGCATCTTTCATACAGCACCGGTTCATACAGTACAGCACCAGAACATACAGAACAGTATACAAATGGCTAACAGTCAAGATCCCATCATGGCTCCACCAGGAAGAAGAAAGAAATATGACGCCAGTTTCAAACTTAAAGTTGTAAACTTTGCCATGGAACATAATAACTGTGCTGCTGCAAGACAATATGGAGTAACAGAAAAGATGGTTCGGGACTGGAAAGCAAATGAAAAAGCATTAAAGAGTATGCCAAGGGGTAAGTGTGCATTAAGAAGAGGCACCCCACATTGGCCAGAACTTGAAAAACATGTAGCAGACATGGTGAATGAGCATCGCCAAAACGGTTATGTAGTGACACGAAATAAAATACGTTTGTTTGCACTTCAGTGGGCCAAATCTAACCCAGATCACAGCAACAGATTTAAGGCCACTGTATCCTGGTGTACTAGATTCTTGGAAAGGCATAATATGGTACTGAGGTAAAAGACGAAAATGGGTTTATTGTCTTATCCTTCCTTTCAGTTTTAGAGTGAATTAGGAAAAGTTTAATCCAATTGCACTGTTTTATGTTTACATGTTTGATGACAAACAGCCTTATGTTTATAAGTGACAGTTTTCCTGCTAAGTACCTGCATGTCATAAACATTTGAATTAAAATTACCATATTGAAATCAAATCTGATGTTTTTTAATTTTTATTTGGTGTGCGTTGGAAGAAGGAGTAGTCATATACGGCGAGTATAGCCCAAACCCTATATTTTAACAGGAAAAGTAGGGGGTTGTCTTATACGCTGGAAAATACGGTAAGTTATCTTTATATGCAGTAGATACTGTTAATTTATAGTTTATATCCCACAATTTTTGCCATTTATCCAATTCTATAGAGCAGTGGTGGCAAACCTATAGCACGCATGCCAGAGGTGGCAAGCAGAACCCTCTCTGTAGGCACGCGTCGCCGCGCCAAGTTGCTCTCTGGCCGAAAGACTTCCCATTTATAAAATGGGAGGGAAAAAATGGACCGCTTGACTGTCGTTTCCGATCACATGGCCCAGGCCCAGCTGCTCCCGAACCCCGGCCACTGCTCCCGGACCTCGGCTGCTTCTCCCGGACCTCAGCTGCTTGCCTGTTGTCGCCGATCGGTCCCAGCTCCTCCTGCCATCGCCTATCAGTCCCAGCTCCTCCTGCCGTCGCCAATCGGGCCCAGCTGCTCCCGAACCTCACCCGCTTTTCCGCCACCGATCGCCCGGACCTCTTCAGTGGGATCTTCCATGAAGATCCAAGTCAGGATACCTCCTCAGGTAAGAGAAGGTTCCTTGGAAAGAAGGGATTTTTTTCAGATTCTCTGGGCCCTGTTTTGTATCATACTAGCCCATATCTTAATAACTATGTTTATAAAAACTCTGCTTGTGTCACTTTTATCTCGCAGGGAATGGAAAATCTGCATTCATAGGTTCTTCTGTTTCTCGTGAAGTTGAAGAGCCACTTGAACCCCAAACTCAGGTAGGAGAGGACATTTCAGTTGAGATACAAGCATCAGTTGAAGTTCTCTTTCAATGGACTCTACATATGATATTGGGCTCAGTGTCATCTGAATGTTGATGGCACCCCAAAAGTCAAAATCTTTTGTGAGCAGTCTCCGCACTCTTCTGAAGGGCAGGATTGATCCATTAGGACCGCTAGTCCATTGGCTAAAATGTTAGAGAAGGTCCCATCAGTGCATTCTGCTGCCACAGTCCAGATTAGAAGCTGTGATAGACCTAACTGTGATTTGTTGAGGAAAGAAGTCTATAGAGATTCTCAGTCATCCAAATCATAGTTGTCCCAAAGGTGCTTTTTCCAAGAGGCAACTGGACTTTCTGGTTTTTCTTTGAAGTTGTTCCATTTCTCATCCAAGAAGCTTCTTCAGCTCTGACTGGATGGTGGGGAATGGAAGGATTTATATTCCTTGGAGAGAGCTGGCCATTTGCATTCTTTTAGAGCAGGGGTGACAAAAAGTCATCACGTGACGTATCGTGACTTTTTCCTCCTTCGCTTAACCGGAGGTGGGTGTGGCCAGCGCGTAATGCATCCGGCCCGCAGGCCGCGAGTTTGACAGTCCTGTTTTAAAGAGTTGTTGAGGCCACTGGAGGTTTATCTGTGTCGTCAGGATCACCAGAGTAGTGCAAATGCTGTGAGCTCCGACAGGTTTTTTCACATCGGATTTTTAATCCTGCAGAAGATTCCTGTTTAACCCACGGCAAATCTTTGCTTTGGGATTCTTGAACCAAAGGAGAGAATTTGCAAATACAATTGGTTTGCTTATACGGTATGCTTTTTTTTTTTGTTTTTTGCAGGTTCTTGTCTCTCTAGAGGAGGTGGTTGTGTGTTTCTCTGAGGACGAATGGTCACGGCTAAATCCTGTTCAGAAAGCCCTGTACAGAGACGTCATGCTGGAAAACTCCAGAAATGTGGCCTTTTTGGGTAAGGCCCGTGGCCCTGTCTTGATGCTTGGAAGAAATATTTTACGAATAGATAGAGCCAGTTATTTTTCTCCTTTAAGTTAACAAACAACCTCACCTGACTAGGTAAAAGAAGGAATGGATCCATTTATGGGTAAAACATTGATTTAATGGCACTAGATGTAATTGTCGTTTACTACACCAACCATTGCAAATCCTTCCCTGTTGTGACCTTAAACTCCAAGTAGACTTTTATGACAATTGAGGCTAAAACTTTCATTCCTAAGCAAGTCAATTATTAAATGAATCTTGCCTCATTTTATGATCTTTCTTGCCACAGTTGCTAAGTGAATCACTGCAGTTAAAGAGAACACATCTTTTTTCCTTCTGTCCTCTGTTTTTACAGAGGCATGATTGAGAGCATTTTAAAACATTGCATCACTGTTTGGTTTGGTGGCAGCAGTGCCTTAGATAGAAAGTCCATACAGAGAATGGTGAGGACAGTCGAGAAGATTATAGGAAGCTTGCTTCCCGTTATTCAGGACACTGCTTATAACTGCTTTCTGCTGATAGCATCGTTAAAGACCCCACACACCCACTTTATGGTATTTCTGTTGCTCCCCTTTGGGAGGAGGTTTTGAAGTATTTCTAGCAGGACTACTACATTCTATAACCTTTGTTTCCTATGCCATCCCGTCTGGTAAACTCAAAGATTTGTTTTTCTCACCATAAACATGTACCGTATTTTTTGCACTATAAGACGGACCAGGCAATAAGACGCACATAAGGTTTAGAGGAGGGAAACAAGAAAAAAAAAAGTTTTTCTGGCATCCAGAAGGACTCTGCCAGCCAAAAACAGGTTGGCAGAGTCCTTCTGGATGCCAGGGAGGGCAAAAACGGAACTTGCGGAAGCTTCCAGAGGCCAAAAACGGGCCCGGTTTTGGCCTGCAGAGTGCTTCTGGGGGCCAGGGAGGCGGAAAACGGGACAGGCGGATGGTTCGGGAGGCCAAAAATAGGCCCGTATTCATTCTATAAGACGCAGACATTTCCACCCACTTTTTGGCATTTCCACCCACATATCTTTGAACATCTGGCTAATCTAGCTGGTGGGAAGTGCCATCTATAACACATTTTATATAAGTTTTCTTTATGTGCAGTAGACATTGTTAATTTATAGTTTCTATCCTACAATTTTTGCCATTTATCCAATTCTATAGAGCAGTGGTGGCGAACCTATGGCACGCATGCCGGAGGTGGACATGCATCGCTGCGTCAAGATGCTTTCCGGCCGAAAGCAGACTTCCCATTTACAAAATGGGAGGGAAAAAATGGACTGCTTGACTGCTGTTTCCGATTGCCCGGACCACATGGCCCAGTGCCAGCTGCTCCCAGACCTCGGCCACTGCACCCGGACCTTGGCCGCTGCTCCTGGACCTCACCTGCTGCTCCCAGACCTCGCCCTCTTGCCTGCCGTCACCAGTCGGGCCCAACTGCTCCTGCCATCGCTAATTGGGCCCAGCTGCTCCCAGACCTCGCCCGCTTGCCTGCTGTCGCCATAGTTGCTGTGAGTACAGGAACTGTATGACACCCCCCCCCCCCTTTGCTTCCATCGCTGCTCGCCCAGACCACGCTAGGGCTGGTGGTGGTGGTGCATGGAAATTCTGGAGCCCCTCGAGGTCTTCGGGACAATCCATCCAAGGCTTTGCTACCCGGGGAAGGCTGTGTGGGAGCTGGGCCCAAAAGGCAACCGAGCCTCATCATCTACCCCATTTCCCCATGGCCCGTGCGTTTTTTACAAGGCTCTTCCGCCGCGCCCTGCTCCGGCTACTTTCCTGAGTGATGCTTCTGTGCCGAAAAACCTTCCCTTACCCTCCTCCCCCCCTGCACATGCCACTGGCCCTGCTTATTGCTTACACCTCCACTTCATCTTATTTATGCAAATTCCCCAAGAAGTAGGTCCAACACATTTACAGCGGAGGTGAATCAATGGTAGGAAATGCCGTCAGATGCCTTTTTCGGAGCAGGCCAAAAGCTGGTGGTCAGTGGAACATTGCCCCCTTGGGCTTGTGGTCAGCAAATTCAAAAGGAACCGCAGCTGAGGATCACTGCCATAGATCGTTGATTCAGGGAATATCTATTTCATTAGTATTAACTAATAGTGTTAGCTATTTTTAGTACAGGGATAGATTTGTATTGGATGCTTCATTTTTAAAAAATTTTTTTGTGTTTTTGTAGACTCCAAGTCTTGAACACCCGAAAACGAGCGCAGCAAAAAAAGCAAATACAGGTAGTGGAAGATCATTCCAAGAGGCCTGGACAGAGTCATTTGGAATGATTGAACACCATGGGAAAGCGTTATGTACTTTGTGTAATGAAAGTGTTGTGTGTCGCACATCAAGTGTCAAACGGCACTTTCTCACCAACCACAAAAATGCTGCCGCACTTGGTGCAACTGAAAGAAAAGAGTTTCTTGAAGGGAAATTGAGGACATATCATTCCCAGTCTCTTAGTTTCTCCAACAATCTTTCTAGAATAAATCATCTGACAGCTGCCAGTTTTCAAATTTCACTGTGCATAGCAAAACATTGTAAGCCCCTCTCTGATGGAGATATTATCAAGACGGCCATGTTGTCTAAGTGTAATTCCCTTTTTCATGATTTCCCAAACAGGGATAAAATTATTAAACGCATCTCTGAGATGCCACTTAGCAGAAATACGGTTAAAGATCGAGTCCAGCGCATGGCAAGTGATGTTAGTCAGCAGCTCACTACTGACTTAAAAAAGGCAGCCTGCTACTCCATGTGCTTGGATGAAAGCACAGATGTAAATAATCATGCCAGGCTAACAATAATTTTGCGTTATGCTGTTGGTGACATCATGAGAGAAGAGCTGGTGAAACTGGTGTCTTTGCCTGAAAGAACACAAGGGATCGATATCTACAATGCTGTGATGGAGGCTTTTTTGTCACAAGACATAAGACCAGAAAAAGTGGTTTCGATTACTACTGATGGGGCACCTTCTATGGTGGGCACAACATCTGGTTTCATACAGTTGTTTGTTAAAGAAACAAAGCATAAAGTTATTCAGTTCCATTGTATTATACATCAAGAAGCTCTTTGTGCCAAGGAAAGCAGCAAAAAATTTGACGATGTCCTCAAAGATGTCACAAAAATGGTGAATTACCTCATGGCTTGTGCTCTGAATTTTCAACAGTTTAAAGCACTTTTTGAGGAGCTTCAGACACAATATAATTGTTTATTTATGTACAATAATGTCCGGTGGCTGAGCAGAGGACGAGTCCTGGAGAGATTTGTAGCCTGCTTGGATGAAATTAGGCTGTTTATGAATGAAAAAGGGCAGAAATATCCACAGCTCACTGAAACGGCCTGGCTTACCAACCTCATGTTTTTTACAGATTTTACAGTACACTTCAATGTACTGAACAAACAACTACAAGGTGTAGGGAAAACAGCAGAAAGGACGTTTTGTGATATCAAAACATTTGAGAGAAAACTGCAGGTTTTTGAAAGAGATCTTGAAAGTGGGCAGCTGAAATATTTTCCAAATCTAAAAAAGCATTTAGAAAGTTCTACATCGTTTGCAGACAATCCTACAAGCCATCAGGAAATCTACAAGGAATTTTCTAGCATTGTAGCAGCTGCAAAGGTGAATTTTAGTAACAGATTTTTACAGTTCCGTAAGATGGAGACAACTCTGTATTTCCTTACTTCTCCAGATAAAGCCAAATTTGAAGAGCTTGATCTTTCCTGCTTAAATTGGTTAGATTTAGAAAATCTGGAAATGGAGCTATTGGAATTTCAAGAAAACCGTATATGGAAAAATAAATTCTATGATCTGCGTGAAACACTTGAGAAGATGGAAAGGATGACAACGGACAGCACAGTTAGTTCTGAAAATGAAATCCTTAAAGTGTGGAATTCTCTGCCAAATAAGTTTAAGTCAATGAAAGCACTTGGGATTGCTTTCCTTACTTTGTTTGGATCATCTTATGCTTGTGAGCAGCTGTTTTCAGCCTTGAATTATATCAAACCTGACACCAGGAACAAACTCACAGATGACCTGAGTGCTGCATTTGTTGCTCTCAAACTTACAAAGTATGAGCCAAGGATAGAAAAATTATCAGCGTGCATACAACAGCAAAGATCACATTAAAGCATGCCAAATGCAAACTTTTACTTTTCAATAAAAAGTTGTTTTTATCATTGAAGGCTCTGTTATTGTGTTTTTTTTAAGGCAAAATATGTTAATCACGTATGAGTTGTTTTTCTAAACGAAAACCTCAGTATTCAGGTTAAATTGCTGTGTTGGCACTTTGCAATAAATAAGTGGGTTTTGGGTTGCAGTTTGGGCACTCGGTCTCTAAAAGGTTCGCCAACACTGCTATAGAGTAACCAACATTTTTAGCTCATACAATCATTATTTCCTTTACTTGCTCTTCTGCCATTCTAATACTCAGTAAATAGTTATAATGTTTTTAAATTAATTTCTCTTCGTTTCCTGTTAGGATCAGGTCCAATTCTGTTGGTTCTTTATAAAAACCATATTTTTTAGCATCTTTTTCATAGCTTGATTGTATTTGTAACTGTGGCCACCATGCTAAATCTATCCCTTGACTATTCAATTCCTGTTTCTTTTTCAGTTCTCCTTTCTCATTTAAGATATCTTTGTATCTTAGAATTTTCCCCATATCAATCAAGTTTGGATGTATCAATGCCTCTATCGTGGAGACCCAGGCTGGTGTTTTCAAATAGTGTTTTTCCTTAATTTTTGCCCATACTAAGAACAAAGCATTTCTAACATAAATGTCCTTGGAAATATTTGTGTAATTTGCTTTTCCCGTACCATAGAAAAGCATGGCACCCCAGTTGCAAATCATGTCCCTCCAGAGTTAATAATAATCTGTGCCTCAAAGTTATCCATTCTTTTAACCACGTAAGTGCAGATACTGGTAATATAGCTCCCAGTCTGTCAACCCAAAACCTCCTCTATTGTTAGAGTCTTGTAGTAGTTTCAAACTTATTCTTGCTTTTTTATCTTGCCATATAAATTTTAATACCGTTCTGTTTAATTCCTCAAAGTATTTCTTTTTCAATTTTATTGGAATTGTTTGGAACAAAAATAATAGTCTCGGTAAAATATTCATTTTCATGGTAGCTATTCTTCCTAACAACGATAGTTGCAGGTTTCCCCACTTTTCCAGGTCAAATTGGATTTGCTGTATTAATTTGGAATAATTATCTTCTTTTGTAGTTGCACATCTTGCTGATAATTAAATTCCCAAATATTGTACTTTCTTCACTATCTGAATATCTGTCTTTTCCATTAAATCTTTTTTTCTGTTTATCTGTAAGGTTTTTGACTAGAATTTTAGTTTTTATTTATTTTTAAACCTGCAACCTCACCAATTGGCAAACCATACACAGGTGCAGTAAGTTAATGGTGCACTCTATATGGTGCAGTGGTAGAAGTTCAGCAGTTTTTCATTCATTCAGTTGTTGTTTCCTGAGAGGGTCTACGACAGGAGTGGGCAACTGTGGCCCTTTTACAACCTGTGAACTTCAACTCCCAGAATTCAAGCTGTCTCAGGAATTCTGGGAGTTGAAGTTCACAGGTTGTAAAAGGGCCACAGTTGTCCACCCCTGGTCTAGGACGAACTGTCCCATGTGCCCAAACACCCGACACGAACTGTACTTCAACCAATGGCCTGCGGCGAAGGGACTGAGGACCCAGACTGTCAGACAATAGGCTGACTCTGAAAACTGCTTAGAGAGGGCTATAAAGCACCGTGAAGTGATATACAGGTAATCCTCAATTTACAACAGTTCATTTAGTGACCGTTCGACGTTACATTACTGAAAAAAGTGACATGACCATTTTCCACCCTTGCAACATCGCACCATCCCTGTCGTCACATGATCAAAATCTGGAAACTTGGCAACTGACTCATATTTAGGACGGTTGCAGTGTCCTGGAATGATATGATCCCCCCCCCTTTTTTTAAACTTGATTTATATGCCGCCCTTCTCCGGAGGCTCAGGGCAGCTTACAATGCGTTAAGCAATAGCCTTCATTCTTTTGTATATTTATACAAAGTCAGCTTATTGCCCCCACAACTGGGTCCTCAATTTACCTACCTTAGAAAGGATGGAAGGCTGAGTCAACCTTGAGCCTTGGCGAGATTCGAACCTGCAGTAATTGCAGGCAGCTGGTCTTAATAACCAGCTTAATAACAGGGTGCCTTAGACCACTGTACTACCAAGGCTCCTTTTGCAGCCTTCTGACCAGCAAAGTCAATGGGGATGCCGGATTCACTTAACAACCGGGTTACTAACTTAACAGCTGCAGTGACTCATTTAACAACTGTGGCAAGGTGAAATGGGGCAACATTCATTTAACAGCTCTCTTGCTTAGCAATATAAATTCTGGGCTCAGTTGCGGTGGTAAGGAGAGGACTACGCTCACACAGAGTGGGCCTCCTCAGGGTGCCGTCTGCCAGACAATGTCGGCTGGCGACCCCCAGGGGAAGAGCCTTCTCTGTGGCGGCGCCCACCCTCTGGAACAACCCCCCCCCCAGAGATACGTACAATAACAGACCTCCGGATTTTTCGTTGGGCCCTGAAAACCCATTTATTTCAGCTAGCTGGGCTGGCTTGAGTTAAATTTTAAACCGATTTTAAATTGGAATTTTTAATTACGGCCAGAATATTTAATTATTTTAAACAGTTTTTAGATTTCGTATGTCTTGTTTTTACTTTGGCTGTTCACCGCCCTGAGTCCTATATTGGAGAAGGGCGGTATAGAAATTTAAACAAACAAATAAATAAATTGTTGCAATATTTTCAGGATCAGACTCAATAATATTAGTAAGAGTTAAAGGTTTAAATATAATTCCTTTTATTTACAATAGGCATTCTATATTCACTGAATATTCACAGATAGAAGCGAGGAAAAGGGTGTAGGTGGCTCCTTATATATACAATGGGTGGAGCTATAAGTGGGAGTGGTGAATTATGAATACATTAAGAAGTGAAGAATAAGTTAACCCCTGATACCCCGTTCATATATTATTTACACATTAGAGAATAAGGCATTTACATCTGACAAATCCCCCTCTAAATGCCGATTCGTTATACAACACCAATTACACTCAGATTCAGGACAATACAATACATACAACTTAGAAGTTAAATATTTGTGTTGCTTAGAAGGTAAAGGCTTTGTCAATATGTCAGCTAACTGTTCTGAGGTATCACAATGCACTGCTTTAATAAATCCATCCTGAGATAATTGTCTCACATGTTTAAATTTTATATCTATATGTCTGGACCTTTGTCCAATGGCATCAGATCTAGATATTTCAATGGCTGCTTTATTATCTTCATGCATAACAAAAGGCAAAGCAGGTTTTTTCCAAACATCTGAAATTAAATCATTAAACCATACAAGGTTATTTGCAGCTTTGGATAAACAAACAAATAGATAAATAGTTGTATAACTTGCTATTGGCCATGTTCAGGAAGCGGCGCCCAGGGGCGCTCGGTTGAAGGGCGTAGAAAAGTGAATCCCCCCCCCACCTTCGCCGAGTCAGGGAAGAGCGCGGGCGTCGAAGCCCCGCCTCTGGGGAGGAAGGTCCTGTAAGGGAGGGAAGGGCTAAGCTGCGGACATCCCATCAAAGGGGTTGGAGGTCGCTACGGTTGGGAATGGGGGGCTCCGGGCGGACCCTATGAGAAGACGCAGGCCGGAGGGGGCGCAAGGGTCGGGATCAGGCAGGCGATGGCGGCGCTGGGCATCACCCCGGAGCAACTGGCGAGCAGCCTGGCCGAAACGGAGGAGCTGTTGGCGGCGCGCGTCTCCGAGCCGGTCCAGGCCCGCTGGCGCTGGGCGGTGAAGCTGGACGAGCCGCCGGACCTGGATCGCTTCTGCGGGCAGCTGAGCCAAGCCCGTCGCGGCCGGGAGACTCTGCTTGCCCGGAACGCGGTGCTATCGGAGGCCGAGCAGGAGCGGCTGCAGGGGCTGCTGAGGCTGGAGATGGCTCTCTTGCGCGGCATCCAAGCGCTGGCCGAGGGCGCGGGGCCGGCCCCGGTTACGACGGGACGGAGGCGCGGGAGGAAGCCGGGCGTGGCGGCGCTGCGGGCGGCTCTGCTGGGGCTGAAGGCGGAGCTGGAGGCAGAGGAAGAACCGGGCCTGCCCGGGGACGCCGCACTCGCTCTGCGGCTCGCCTTGGAGGCGCTGCTGGAAAAGCGGCCGCGGGAGGCTGTCCGAGCGCTGCTGCGGGTGGAAGGGCGCGCCCGGCCGAAGAGTCTGCTGGCTCTGATCCAAGCCCTGCAGGAGGAAGGTTGGGCCGAGCTGCCCCTGCAGGAGCTGCGCCCGCTGCTGGAGAAGGCGCTGCGCCTGGTGCGCAAGGAGCGGAGCTGGCCGGCTGCTGATCTGGAGAGGACTGTGTGGGCAGGCCCGCTGGAGGAGGAGGAGGAGGAGGAGGAGGATGCTCCCAATGGGACCTTATCAGAAGTCTCCTTGGAGGGGTCAGGACTGGGGCACAGGTCCTCCCAAGAGGTCCCTGCAGAGAGCTCCCCAAAAGACCCCCATCAGGATCATCTTACGCCCGGAAAGATTGTGCCCGCTGATTTAAAGTCTCGCCTTCCAAACGAGGCGCCGTGTGGAATTCAGCTGGAGATGGACGCTCCCTCTTTGAAGGATGCTCCGGGGAGGAAAGCGGATGACCTTCGGATTGTTCTCCGGGAAACGACCAGCAGGAAGACGAGTGCGCTGCCACCCGGCTTGTGGGACCAGGGCCCCCGGAAGATGTGCAGCCACCTCCACCAGCTTTGCCGACAGTGGCTTCAACCCGAAAAGAACACAAAGGGGCAGATGCTGGACCTGGTGATCCTGGAGCAATTCCTGGCTATCCTGCCTTCAGAGATGGAGAGCTGGGTCCGGGAGTGCGGAGCAGAGACCAGTTCTCAGGCGGTGGCCCTGGCTGAAGCTTTCCTCCTGAGCCAGATGGAGGAAAAGAAGGAGAAGGCAGAAGTTCAGGTGAGAGACCTTCAGCTGGCAAGCTTAAAGCGGGACGTGAAAGAAGAACCATATGTTGAGGTTCTTGCAGTTTTCCTTAATAGTGTTTTGAAGGCGCTATGGAAAGATGTTTAAGGCAGATTGTTCCATTGAGCAGACAGTGAGAATCTCCTTCTCCTACTTGCACTCCTTTGCTTTTCCAGGCCCTTCATTTCCAGAGGCCTGACTTGAAGTCCATCTCTGTGAACCCCGAGGAAAGGAGGGATCTTCCACATCCTTCCCAGGAGCTGGTCTTCAGTGGGATCTTCCATGAAGATCAAAGTCAAGACACCTCCTGCGGTAAGAGAACGTTCCTTGGGGAGAAAGCTGTTGTATCTTGATATTTTTGGATCTCCTTTGCATCCCTATGTTAGTAATGATGTTTCTCAAAATTCTGCTTGTGTCACTTTTACTCACAGAGAATGGAAAGTCCTCATTCATAAGTTCCTCTCCTTTTTCTGATGGGGTTGAAAAAACAGTTGAACCTCCAACTCAGGTATATTTATTTTATTTTTATTTACTGGATTTGTGTGCTGCCCATTTCATCTAGAGGTAGGAGGAGAAATGTCAGGGAAGATAGATTACAGGTAGTCCTCAATTTACGACCACAATTGAGCCCAAAATTTATGTTCCTAAATGAAACATTTGTTAACTGAGTTGGGCCCATTTTACGACTTTTTTTGGTCACAACTGTTAAGTGAAACGTTACATTTGCTAAGTTAGTAACATGGTTGTTAAGTGAATCTACATTCCCCATTGAGTTTGCTTGTCGGAAAATCGCAAAAGCTGATCGCATGACCCTGGAACACTGCGATCATCATAAATATGAATCCGTTGCCAAATGTCTGAATTTTGATCATGTGACTACGGGGATGCTGCAACAATCATAAGTGTGAAAGACGGTCATAAGTCAGGTTTTTTCAGTGCCGTTGTAACTTTGAACGGTCACTAAATGAACTGTTGTAAGTCAAGGACTATCTGTATATGCAGTCTCTTATTATGGGCTCAGTATATAATACTGTATATTGTTTGTAGCAATATAAAATGGGGGTTCAGCTTCAGTAATGCTTAGTTCAGCTTTCCTCTCAAAACTATTTTGGATCTGACAAGCCAAAATTGGATTGAGTGTCATCCAAATAATGAATCTAATCTTTTATATCAAATCTATCCAAATATCCAACCAACGCTTCTGTGAGACCAATAAATGACACTATTTAATTGTAGCTTGCAGCCTTTTGTTACATTGAACCACATGGGCTGATATAAAAGGAAATAGGTGTTCCCTTAAACAACTGGGACCTTTGTATTTAGTGCTTTATAGGTCACAATAATTGTTCAATTTATTACCCCACTAAGGCCAGATAAAGGGATGCGGTGGCTCAGTGGCTAAGACGCTGAGCTTTTTGATTAAAAGGTTGGCAGTTCAGCGGTTCGAATCCCTCGTGCTGTGTAACGGGGTGAGTTACTTGTCTCAGCTTCTGCCAACCTAGCAGTTCGAAAGCTCGTAAAAAATAGGGACCACCGTTGGTGGGAAGGTAACAGTGTTCCATGTGCCTTTGGCGTTTAGTCATGCCGGCCACATGACCACGGAGACGTCGTCGGACAGCGCTGGCTCTTCAGCTTTGAAACGGAGATGAGTACCGCCCCCCTAGAGTCAGGAACAACTAGCACATATGTGCGAGAGGAACCTTTACCTTTAAGGCCAGATAAAGCAGTACTGAATCATACCAGGAACCAGTTCTGCATTTTGAACTAGTTAAATGGTCTTGAAGGACAGCCCCAAGTGCACGAATGACTGAAGGTCCTTCTGATCTAGGAAAGGATGCAAATGGCACACGAGTTGAAGTTTTTACAAAGTCCTTTCTGGTCATTGAGAAGTCACCTCAGGTTGTGCAGCAACCTTGAAAGGAGATGTGTCACTCTATCCAAGATCAGAGATGAAATATCTCCAGATCTGAGTGGATGTGGATCTAAACAGATCTAGATAATCTGTTTCCTCAGACAGTGTGCTTCGTCCACAAATGTTATTACTTCGGTCAAATGCTTGCAAACTCTGGGGGGTTTTTTCATCAGGTTTTTAACCCTGCAGCGCATGTCCCAAAGATGGTTTTTCAAAAGGCGACTGGACTTTTTTTTTTTTCCTTGAAGACATTTCACTTCTCATCCAAGAAGCTTCTTCAGCTCAGTTCTTCACCCAACTTCTTGGATCAGAAAAGTCTTCCAAGGGGGAAAAAAAACCCCTCCAGCTGCCTTTTGGGACAACAATGATCTGGATGACTGCGAATATCCATAGACATCCTGCAGAGTATGCCTTTTTAATCCATTGTAAGTCTTTGGGGATTCTAGAAACCAAAAAGGGAGAATTCATGATATTTTGGGGAGACTGTAAGCTAATAACTGCACCTATGAGAACAAATGCCTGGTTTTTAAGTGAATTGCAATTATCATAAGTGTGAACCCATTGTTGGTTATGGGAGTGGTTTTGTCAAAAACTGAAAAAAGTGCTGGTTTTTGGTAAAACTATCATAAACCATGGTCACATGACTGCTGGATGCTACAAATGGCAGTAAATGCAGCCATGTTGCTGTGGGCTTGAAATATGGTCATGTGACCATGTGATGGGAGGGGCGTATCGGAACTTTAAAAGCGGGTCATAGGTCCCCTTTTTCAGGCAGATTGTAACTTAGGTTGTAAATCAAGGCCTACCTGTAAATATCTCCAGATTTGGATGATTACAAACTGAAGCTTGACTGAAACGGATCCAAAGGCTCCTCAGATAATCTACTTCATCCACAAATCTTACTTCAGTCAAACGCAGTGAACTCTGACAAGCTTTTTCACATCAGATTTTTACCCCTGCAGAATGTGTCTATTTAACCCACTGCAAATCTTTTTTGCTTTGGGATTCTCGAATCAAATGGAGATAATTTTGCAAATAAAATTTGGTTGCTCATAGGGATATGCCTATTTGCAGGTTCTTGTCTCTTTAGAGGAGGTGGCTGTGTGTTTCTCTGAGGAGGAATGGTCTCGGCTAGATCCTGTTCAGAAAGATCTGCACAGAGAAGTCATGCTGGAGAACTCCAAAAATGTGGCCTTTTTGGGTAAGGCCCCCTGCCCTGCCCCCAGATGCTTAGAAGAAATACTTTATGACTAAATAGAGCCAGTTATTTTTTTTTCTTTTTTAAAAGTTCATAAAATGTCCTTATCTGGCTAGGAAAAGGAAGAGAGCTGTCATCTTAACAATTAAAAAAATCATTTAATGACACTAGATGTAACTCTTGTTACTATGTTGACTCCTATGTCTGTATCCCAAATTCCTCCCTCTTTTCACTATATACTTGTTCTTTTCCCAGTTAATAGCAAGTATTTCAAGTTAAGCAAAAAAATTAGATGTAGTTAGCACAACTCCTTGCTCCCATTCTCACACTTCTCTGGTAAATATTACAAGCTTCTCCTCCCTGATTCCTCACTTTCTTAAACTGAATTCCAGCTTACTCCAGTGAGTAAGTAAGATTAATTTATTGAGTAAAATGTATAATAGTGTAAATGTGGTCCTTTATTTAAATAAATGGATTTTGTGATGAGTTTAAGAAACTCATAAAATAAGCCTTCAGATTCGGGTTAATATCCAGGTTCCAAGTAACACCCCCAACAAAAGAAAACTCTGAGGCTTGAGTTTCCTCAAAGTTCCATGTTATTAGAGATGTCATATTGGCACATCTGGGAAAACCCAAATCTGAAAGCTTCCAGGTTTTCCCCACCCAAAGGAAAGTCCAAGCACCCACATGTCCATCACATAGTCCAATCAAAGCACTATCCTAACTGGAGATGCCTCCAAGTTCCAACCGTCCAGGTGCAGGGCAAGATGTCCTTGACTCTCTGAGAAAAGAATCTTATTATGACTATATATCACCCTTGCGCCCTATAATCCCCCCTCCCAGTTTCCCACAGTAGTAAATGTGTCAGGCCTGAAGATTCAATGCAAAAGATGGCTTCCAGGCCTGACAGTAAGAAGTGTTCTATTATTATATTGTGCAGTTTTCTTCATATTACTGTTATAACAACCTGTCACTCAAAGTCTAACTTTTGTAAGGCTTTGATCAGAATATTTAATGTTGGTCAGCAGAACACCTTTCAAAACAGTGGAGAATCCTTGGCAGATTTTCACTAGGAAATTTACACTTACCTCCTATGTGATGAATTCCTAGTTTGCTTCCTCTATCTTGCCTCAATTTTCGTTCATTCTTTTTCTCTTAAGGAAATAATGTTCAGGAGAACAAGGAAGCCTTCCAAATGTTCAGCGATGAAGAGAGAAGAAAGGAGTTTTCATACCCAATGGAAACAACAGAAAACGAAAGAAATCTGTCAAACAATGGAAGTAAGAGGAGCTCAACTTTCCCATCCATTGAAATTCAAGACTTTCTACCCAAAGGAGATCAGAGAGAAAATTTAAAAGTGGAAAATGTGGAAACATTTGAAGAGAGCTTAGATTTATATGAACATTACACAATTCACATTAAAGAAGAGGATCTTGGCCAAGAGGTTGAAAAAAGCTGCAATTGGACCTCTGGCATTTCTTTATGTGGAGAAGCCAAAATGAGAAATAAAGCATATAAAGGTACAGAGAATGGAAAGCATTTAAGTGGTAGCAGTTCTCTTGTTCCCAGTGAAAGGACTGACTTGGAGGAAAAACCGTATAAATGCATGGAATGTGGAAAGAGTTTCAGCCAGCGTGGTAATCTCAATTCCCATAAAAAAATCCACACAGAGGAGAAACCTTATAAATGTGATGAGTGTGGAAAGAGCTTTACTCAGAAGGTCAATCTTAATTCCCATAAAATGATTCACACAGGGGAGAAACCGTATAAATGTGAAGAGTGTGGAAAGAGTTTTACCCAAAATATTCAATTGACTTCACATCAGAGAATCCATACAGGGGAAAAGCCATATACGTGCATGGAGTGTGGGAAAAGCTTCAGGTGGAGCACTCAGTTTACTTCCCATCAAAGGATCCACACAGGAGAGAGACCATATAAATGCATGGAGTGTGGGAAGACTTTCAGTGAAAGCAGTTCCCTTACTTTCCACAAGAGGATCCACACAGGGGAGAAACCATATAACTGCATGGAATGTGGAAAGAGCTTCAGCATGAGCAGTTCACTTACCTACCATAAAAGGATCCACACAGGGGAAAAGCCATATAAGTGCTTGGAGTGTGGAAAGAGCTTTACACAGAACATTCAACTTACTTCTCATAAAATGATCCATACAGGGGAGAAGCCATACAAATGCACTGAGTGTGGCAAAAGCTTCAATACAACCAGCAACCTTGCTTGTCACAAAAGAATCCACACTGGGGAGAAACCCTACAAATGTATGGAGTGTGGAAAGAGTTTCACTCAAAATATTCAACTCACTTCCCATGTAAGGATTCACACAGGGGAGAAACCATATGAATGTAAAGAATGTGGAAAGAGCTTTACTCAAAAGATTCAACTTACCTCTCATAAAAGGGTCCACACAGGGGAGAAACCATATAAGTGCAGGAAATGTGGAAAGAGCTTCCGTAATAATGGGTCCCTTACTCTTCATGAAAGGATCCACACTGGAGAGAAACCGTATACGTGCATGGAGTGTGGAAAGAGCTTCAGCCGGGGCAGTCATTTTGCTTCCCATAAAACAATCCACACAGGAGAAAAGCCACATAAATGCCTCGAGTGTGGAAAAAGTTTCCGTGAAAACACTTCTCTTACTATTCATAAAAGGATCCACACTGGGGAGAAGCCATATAAATGCTTGGAATGTGGAAAGAGGTTCCGTGAAAATGGGTCATTTACCTCCCATAAAAGAATCCACACAGGGGAGAGGCCATATAAATGCATGGAGTGTGGAAAGAGCTTCACGACAAGCAGTAATCTTACATCCCATATGAGGATCCATTTAGGTATGAATGTATATTTTTAGATAAGAATATTATTTACTTGGCTCCTGTGTATATAATGTATATTCCTGAAAAGGTACTTTTCTCACGATGAAATCCTAATTGAAAACTCTGTGGGCGTCCAAAATATATGGTCAAAAAAGTACAATCAAAACTGCTTGTTTCTTTTGTAAGTCGCACACACAATGCACACAAAAAACGGGCAGAGCTTGTATCACAGAGTTATGGGTGCACTGTTTTTTAAAGTTTTGTCATTTTACAGTTCCAGCCATGTGGCATATCAATAAGAGAAAATCCTTTTTTCAGAAATTCGGAGTTGAAAATGCTTGGAATGTCCAGCTTTCCTTCAAAAACCAGTAGAACCACCATCTTTGGATAAATTTGAAATTGTGTGCTATTTAAATTCATTGAAACGGTGTGCTTATACAATTAATCTCATATATTGTATCTTTGTAGTTTGTGTCTTACATTTCTAATGAGTTTTTTTCTGTTTGTTCCAAGTAAGAGACATGCAGGAGAATGAGAACAAAAAGAAGTCAAGCGTGTTGACATCGCGAATAATGAAACATGAAATGAGAGAAGAGAGATTTGGAAATCATGGGGAATCAAAATAAAGAAAATGGAAATAAGGGATACCTTTCAAATAACATTGGCAGAAGTTCTTCATGTTTGAAGATATGGCCCAGATGTTGCTACTGATCTGATAAGATCACAGAATAACAAGAAGAGAACTGCCTTTTGCAGTTATTTTTGTGCGGAACAAAAATCAAACAGAAATTAGACTCGGATAGTGGAACTGAGGCTAGAGACAACTAGAATGAACAGATAGCAGGGAACAATTTTAGTCAACAATTTCTTTTTTTATTTTTTTGTCCTAAGAATCCACCTGGAGAGAAACCAAATAAATGTTGGAGTGTGGAAAATTCTTCTCTTCAGGAAGAATTTATAGAATTCCGATGTCCTGTATGCATGTGCAAAAGACCTTTCTTTCGAGCAGTCAGCAGGGCCATTTCTGCCTTTCTGTAGTGTGATGAGAGCCAGAACAAAAACTACATGTTAAAATAACATTAAAATAGTTAAAGACACTTGTTGGGATTAATTTCTGGTCAGGGCTTAATTTTTTCTCATTTTAGTCACATTGGAAAACAAGAGATGTGACAAATAGTGTAAAATAAAATGAATATTTTTTGGAAAACCATTGGAGCCAGCCCTGAAGGTTTCAGAGTAGACATTGGCTTGAATGTGTTTTCTCAAAGAGTGCTCAGCCGCGTTGCTGCTCAAATTGAATAAAAGCCACTGGTTTGTTCAGTATCATCAGCATTTTTATCACACATTTGCAGAAGAGCAGTTTAAAAAGTAATTGCCAAACTCAAAGAACTATTGATAGATGAAAGGAATAGCTTGAAATGAATGGGCTTCCCACAACTGTAACTACTGTACTCTTAATTTTTTATTTTTGGAACTTTACAATGTGCTTTTTTTTTTTTTTAAAAAGGAATGTTTTATTTGGTTGCTGTTTAATGGGCATTTCCTTTTTTTGTTCTTTGCTACAATATCATCTCTGTTTTCTTTTTCTTTCACATCCAAAAATTTCTTCAAAGTTGGTTATTTTTTCCTGCATCTTCTGCTTTCTACTCTGAACAATATTGGTAATTCGTTTTTCTCTGAAGTACTTACACTTCATCATGATCTCAAGATACAGAGAAACTTGATATTCTTAAGGATTCTTTAGACTTCACTTGGAGTATTCATGTTTACAGAGGACTATGAGGATCATTTAATCAAAAGTAAAGCTTTGTCTAGGGACACGATGGCTCAATGGCTAAGACACTGAGCTTGTCGATCAGGTTGGCAGTTCAGTGGTTTGAATCCCTAGTGCCACGTAACGGAGTGACCTCCTGTTACTTGTCCCAGCTTCTGCCAACCTAGCAGTTCGGAAGCACGTAAAAAATGCAAGTAGAAAAATAGGGACCACCTTGGTGGGAAGGTAACAGTGCTCCGTGCACCTTCGGCATTAAGTCATACTGGCCACATGACTACGGAGATGTCTTCAGACAGCAATGGCTCTTCGGCTTAGAAATGGATATGAGCACCGCCCCTAGAGCCGGAAACGACTAGAACGCATGTGCGGGGGACCTTTACCTTAAAGCTTTTTCTTACAAAATTATCCAAGCTCCAAAACCTGTTTTGGCTCATTCTTTGGAGTTCTACCTTTTCTCCTATTGCAGCCTTAATTTCCCATCTCACTGCAATTTCCAAGGTTTTTCTTTCCCCCTTCTGAACCTTTATTTCTTTGAACAAGTTTAGACAAAGTTACTAGGCTTTAAATATGTATATTTTTTTCTTTCATTTCCCCCCGGATTTTACACCAAATGTCATAGCCATCAGTCTTCCATTATATCACATCATTGCTTACTCTCTAATAAAATGTAAGGTACAAGATGTGTTTTTTACTTCCAAATCCTGATAGTATTTAGCTGTTAGCTGTTGTGTGCTCTTTTTAGTGAAGGTAAAGGTTTCCCCTTTCCAGTTGTGTCAGACTCTAGAGGTCTGTGTTCATTTCCATTTGTTACCCAAAGAAGCCAGCATTGTCGAAGACATTTCCATGGTCTTGTGGCCAGTGTATGCTATATGCTGAGATGCATGGAATGTTGTTACCTTTCCACCAAAGTGGCACCTACTGTATTTATCAACCTCCATTTCCCTGCTTTCAAACTGCTAGGTGGGCAGGAGCTGGGGCAAGTAACAGGAACTCACCCCATCACTAGCGCTGAGGTCTCAAACTCAAGCTTTTTATTAAATCCTTCTTCAGAGGAGCTACATAGATAGTCCTTGACTTACAACAACTGGGACCAGAATTTCTGTCACAGGTCATTACAGTTGTGAAAATATAGACTCTAAAACACTTCCCAAGACTGTTGTAATATTGAACCATCATTAAACAAATTGTCATAGGTCACATCTTTTCCAAAAGAGATTGGGAGTTCATATAGTTTCGTATTTTGTGTACTAGTCAGATCCTCACATTTTTCTTACAAAGGGTCAACTGAAACTTCAGGGACCACATCAGTGCCTCCTGGACAACAGTGCCATTGTTGACCTTTTACAACTACTGCGATGGGCTTTTCATGGGATAGGTTTTGTAAAGTCACATTTTGTACTCAGACAACACTAGAAGAAAAAATGTGTGCAGCCCAAGGAAAGATTTGCCAATCTTCTTTTCTACAGATTTTTTTTTTAAAAAATGATGTTTGTATGATGTGGCCATTTTATTGGAGTAGAATCCTTGACTATTTCACTGAGCAGTTGAAGTTAGGTTTTGGTGGGTTGCAGTGTTTCTGATGACAAGCTAAAAGGTGATATATTTTGGAGATGCCATCATAATCATTAGCCACTCCTACAAGAATGGCACAAAAAAAATTGTAAGAGATGGCATTCTCACAGATTATCAGTGAGGGGAGAAGGCCTGGATGCTGGTTTTTCTGCTAGGCATATACATTCTCCATCGCACTGGAGTCTCTAAGGAGCAACGCTCCAATTGTTTTTGAAATTCATTATCTTTGCTGAGTGTGAACCTTCTTTCTAGGAAGTTATTTTGGGCTCTGCTGAGATGCAGGAAAAGAGCAAGAAATGGCAGGAAGCTCTCTAGTTGGGAGCTTTGAACAGCTGCCCCTGAGTATCCCAAGTCTGCATTTTCCCAGGCAATGCTTTCAAAGTATGCAAATCTGAGACTGGGTTCCAGCACCTCCATACATATAAAATAGAAATAATGTCTGGGCCTTCAAGTCACTCTTGACTGCCTAGATAAGCCTCTGCAGTTTTTGCCAGCATTTTCCAGGAATGGTTTGCCATGCCTTGAGAGAGAAGTTGGATAAAAGTCCCCTGATGGGTTCATGCCTAAGGCAGGATTAGACTTTATGGTCCCCTGGTTTCTAGCCTGGTGCCTTTAGTCACTACACTAGTTGCCTCCATAGCAAGATGGGTAATTCTGCTTTGCCCCTAAAAGGGGGCTTCCCTCCTATTTCCATCATCCATTCCAATTCCTACAAGAAAAGCCTCTCCCCTTTCTTTTGCAGGTCACTTGCATTGCACACAGAGTCCACCAGGGGGCTACCTCTATAAATCGAGCCTCTGAATAAAAGCAGTGAAATAGGCATGCATCTGAGCATTCACCTCCTGGAAAGCATATGACACTCCCTTGACTTGTCCAGAGGATGCCCAGGAATGTGTGAAGTCACTGAGACTGTGTGCTCACTTGTGGTAACCTTTGTTATGTGAAGGCAGTGTAGTTGCAGGGAAAGTCTTGCAAGGATGGAGGTTCTGATGTGACTGTGTGGTTGTGAGAAGGAAAACGGGGTTCATATGGAAGAAAAATGGGAATGCAAAAGTTTCCATCAGGTTCTCTGAATTCTGAAAGTGGAAGAACCCAGATCCCTTGTTCCCTGCTGCCCCTTTGCATGCATAGTTCAGGCAAGGGGGAAAGCAGAGCTCCAGACCTCCGGCACTGCCTCTAGGAAAAAGTCCAGAATCCCTAGGAAGCAGGATATTGGGGAACCCTTCATTCCCATTATCTGATTCAGCTGCGGTTTTGTCAGGTGAGGGGTGGGGTTGAAAGGAAAGTCCAATGCTATAAAGAACAATATTGCATAGGAACCTAGAATGTAATCTATGAATCAAGGAAAACGGGATGTGATCAAACATGAGATGGCAAAATTGAACATTGATTATCTTGGGAATCAGTAAACTAAAATGGATGCGAATTAGAAAATTTAGTTCAGATGACCATTATATTGATTACTATGTGAAAAAAAAAGCACACCTTAAACTTAGTAAGAGGGGACAAGGATAAAACAGTATCAGAATATGTAGGAATGACTCACTGAAGATGGAAAAATGGATGAAGAAATTAACATTAAAAGAAGATCTCATACCAAGCATATTTATGCCCACTTTATGTTACCAGTGCCAAACATGGACACTTGAAATAAAACATCAATGAAAGTTAGTCACCATGGAAATGAAATGTTTGAGGAAAGCTGCCAGAGTGACCAGAAGGGATAAAATAAAAAATGAGATTATAAAAGAAAGACTTGGAATAGAACCAATCTTAAACTATATATAAAAACAGCAAGTTAAGTGGTTTGCTCACCTGGAGAGAAAGTCTTGGGATTCTATACCATACAAGGCATATACAAAAAGAGAAGGCCAAGGAACACGAGGTGGATGCAGAAGATGGAGAGACAGTATCAAAGACATGCTAAAACGGTATCAGATAACAATGGTTGAGGCCACCAGAAGTGCAAGAAGCAGAACTTTGTATCTCAGTAGATTTGAGGGGAGTTTTTCATTTGCTTAGAAATGTATAAGTAACCAAATGCAGATCTGCAATACCATGTCTAAAACGGAGGAGAGATAAGTTTGCAACATTAAAAACATTGGTGGAGTTTCCGTCATAGGATCATGGTCGTCCTCTTGATTTTGCAGGTATCTGAGTAACACTCTCCCCCCCTCCCAAATCTTTATATTTTTTCACCTCAGGTCCTTTTATTCCTTTAAGATATTTTTTCATATTTAGGCTGTTTCAAATATTCAGTTCTGGGGTCTCTTGAGCAATGCATATCTCTTGAGGAGCATTTCAGTTCTTTCTTCTTCAAAAAATATGATGAATGCTTCTCCTTGATGTATTAGATTAAAATGTTAGGTTGATGCAAGCTGCCATCTTTCTTCCGATTGTCTCCTTTTCAAATAATTCCTCTTTTACACTCAGTAAACATAGGCCTTTCCAAATTTAATTTGGTGCAATTTGTGAGCTAAATTTTGAGATGGGCATTTCTTTGTATATACATACACACACACACCCCTTAAGAGTATATATGTATACATTACATACACACACACATACACTCATATAAAGTGCACATATATACCTCACCTGGTCCACCCTAAATGTGGGAGGGGGCATTCTGCTCCCTTTTGCCTTTCAGCTCCAATCCAGGAGCCCTCAAACAATCGCATTCACAAAAAACCATTTTATACCAAATTTATATTTTTCTGATAAAGAAATATTTCTTTATCAGAAAAATATAAATTATATATATATATTCAAATATATACTCATCTCAAATTTTTACCTCAAAATTGCATACATACATACATATACATATGTATATGTGTGCGTATATATATATTTAGATATAGATAGATAGATAGACATATTCTCTTCTTAAGATCTCTTCTTTAAATATTTCTCTTCAGGATTTTAATCTTCAGAGCTCCATCTCTTGACCCCCACACTCAAAGACCACCATCTCTCCACCCCACAAATCTGTGGTGCCTTTTGAATACAATGGCTTCTTATTCTTCAAAATAACCGCTGAGGGAAGAAGCGCTCTTATTTCACAGAAGGAAAAGCCTCTTTTTTTAGGTCGCACTTCTCCCTCACGTTTCTCCCCTTCCTCAAGTCCAGAGAACTTTCCCTCCAATTTAAATGTCCGGCGCCCTTCGGGCCCCTTTTAACCGTCGCTTCTTCTAACGGTCTCTTCAAAAGAGGGGCGGCCTTCCCAGCCCCGCCCCTCGGGGAGGAGCGTCCAGCAGGGGCGGGGCCATTAGCTGCTACTAGGCGGTGGGGAGCCCCAATTGGGCAGGCGCTGCTGGGCCGGGACGCGGTGCTGTCAGAGGCCGAGTAGGAGCGGCTGCGGGGCTTGCTGAGGCTGGACATGGCTCTCTTGCGCGGCATCCAAGCTCTGGCCGAGGACCCGGGCCCGGTTACGATGGGACTGAGGCGCGGGGGGAAACCCGGCGTGGCGGCGCTGCGGGCGGCGCTGCTGGGACTGACGGCGGAGATGGAGGCAGAGGAGGGACCGGGCCTGCCCGGGGATGCCGCACTCGCTCTGCGGCTCGCCCTGGAGGCGCTGCTGGAAAAGCGGCCGCGGGAGGCTGTTCGAGCGCTGCATCGTGAGGAAGAGCGCGCCCAACCGAAGAGACTGCTGGCTCTGATCCAGGCCCTGCAGGAGGAAGGTTGGGCCGAGCAAGGGGACGAGCTGCCCCTGCAGGAGCTGTGCCCACTCCTGAAGAAGGTGCTGCATCTGGTGTTCAAGGAGTGGAGCTGGCTGGCTGCAGATCTGGAGAGGGCTGTGTGGGCAGGGCCTCTGGAGGAGGAGGAGGAGAACACTCCGAATGGGACCTTGCCAAAAGTCTCCTTGGCGGGGTCAGGATTGGGGCACAGGTCTTCCCAAGAGCTCCCCGCACAGAGCTCCCCAAAACACCCTTATCAGAATCATCTTGCGCCAGGAAAGATTGTGCCCACTGACTTGTCTTGTGTCCCAAAGAGAGTGTGTGGGCTCCAGTCAGAACTGCATGTCCCCTTTTTGAAAGGGACCCGATGGAGGACGGTGGAGGACTTTCAGGATGCCTTGCTGGAAGCCACCGGGAGAAAGATGGGTGCTCTGTCCTGTTCCTTGTGGGACCAGGGCCCCCGGAAGATGTGTAGTCGTCTCTACCAACTTTGTCACCAGTGGCTTCAGCCAGAAAGGAAGACCAAAGGGCAGATGCTGGACCTCTTGATCCTGGAGGATTTGGTGGCTCTTCTGCCCCCAGAGATGGAGAGCTGGGTCCGGGAATGTGGAGCAGAGACCAGCGCCCAGGCGGTGGCCCTGGCCGAAGGTTTTCTCCTAAACCAGGTAGAGGAGCAGAAGAAGCAGAGGGAGATGCAGGTGAGAAATCTTCACTTGACGAAAATCAAGATGGAAACTCAAAGAATATATGTTGAGATACTTACATGTTGTGAATCTACAAGTAGATGTTTATTTTATTTTATTTCTTAAGCAAATTTATATGGACCCCCCACTCGCTCACAGTGACTGGGCAGCTCACAGAAATAAAACTGCAAATACAAAAACAAGTAAACCCCCACATATTCCTGGCAACAACAATCATACCAACCGTTCTGTATCACCCTGGAGTCCTTAGGCCCCACTGACCTCCTTAAGAGATGACACTCATAACATATCCTGTTTTTTTGACTCTGGTGGGTTGTGTAGATGTAATTAGTAAAAAACCTGGCACCAGCCCATGAAGGGCTTTTACAGTGATAACCAGTACCTTGAATTGGACCTGGAACCAAATTGGCAACGGATGCAACTCCTTTAAGAGAGATAACATATGTGCAGCTCTAAACTTGCACAAAACCATGGGGGCTGCTGCATTTTGAACCAAATTGAAGCCTCTGGATAGAGTACTTTTCAAGGGCAGCCCATATAGAATGAATTGCAGTAGTCAAGAGGTTGCTAGAGAATGGGTGATTGTGAGCAGGGCTTGTTGGTTCAGGAAAAGGCATTACTGACAATAACCAGCAGTTCACAAAGGCTCTCCAGATCATGACTCATGACTGCTACCTGCTCTTGGAGCAGGAGTTGCAAATTCAGAAGAACTCCCAGATTATGTACTAGGTCCATCTGGGGCACTGCAATCCCACCAAGCCAAAGATGGCAATTCTCTATGGACCAAAGAATCCCAAATCCAGAGTCATTCAGGCTTACCAAGGTTCAGTTTCAGCCCATTGCTATCCAGGCCTTAACAGCCGCTTAACAATTTAAAGCCTAAGACAAATTATTCCATTGAGTAGACAGTGAGAATCTGCTTCTTTTTTTGTAAGTTCTTCTATTTGCTGTTCCTCCAGGTCCACCAAGTTCAGAGGCCCAACTTGAACTCAGTCTTTGAAAATCCCTGGGAAACCAGGGATCTGCCAGATCCTTTCCAGGAGCTGCTCTTTAGAGGGATCTTCCATGAAGATCAAAGGCAGAACACCTCCGGTAAGAGAAGTTTCCTCAGAATGAAAGCACTTTTTTCTCATTCTTAGGGCCCTCTTTTGCATGATTCTTACTCATATCTTAGTAATTATGTCTCTAAACATTGCATTTCCATTATTTTTATCTCACAGGGAAGGAAAAGTTGGCATTCATAAGCGGTTCTCCTTTTTCTGGTGGAGTTGAAAGACCAGCTGAACTTCTGACTCAGGTAGGAGTGAAATGTTTGGAAGAATAGAGAGATCGGGTGGAGATCTCTTGTTATGGGCTCTACATGTGATGCTGCTGATTCTGAGCAACATGAAATTAGGATTCAGCTTGCTGGTCAGTTATGTTTATTATTCTCAACACTGTTGTAGGCCTGACAAGAAGCCAAAATTGGTTTGAATGTCATCTGAATGTTGATAGCACCTCACAAATCAAATCCATTTGATGAGCTCTTGCCACTTTTGTAACATTGTTGGGAGGGAGGCAGGATTGCTCCCCAAGGAGACCTTGCAATGTATCAGCTAAAATGTTAAAGAAGATCCCACCAGTATGTCCTCCTGCAGTTGACAGATAGGATGAGAACCAGTGAGAGGCTACCTGTGAATTGATCCAGAAAAATATTTTGTGTGTATTCACAGAAGGGCCCTGGCAGTCCTGCGTACTCAGTACATTTGATACACTGGCCATTTCCAACCAAGTACAATAAAACCAATACAATAAATAAATAAACATAAATAAATAAAATAAATAAAAATAAAGTACAATAAAACCAGGGACACAATGGCTCAGTGGCTAAGACACTGAGCTTGTCGATCGAAAGGTTAGCAGTTCAGCGGTTCGAATCCCTAGTGCTGTGTAACAGGATGAGCTCCCGTTACTTGTCCCAGCTTCTGCCAACCTAGCAGTTTGAAAGCACGTAAAAAATGCAAGTAGAAAAATAGGGACCACTTTTGGTGGGAAGGTAACAGCGTTCCGTGCGCCTTTGACGTTGAGTCATGCCGGCTACATGACCACAGAGACGTCTTCGGACAGCACTGGCTCTTTGGCTTTGAAACGGAGATGAGCACTGCCCCCTAGAGTCGGGAACAACTAGCACAGGGGTGGGCAATTGTGGCTCTTTTACAATCTCAGGAATTCTGGGAGTTGAAGTCCACAGGTTGTAAAAGAGCCACAATTGCCCACCCCTGAACTAGCACATATGTGTGAGGGAAACCTTTACCTTTACAATAAAACCAACAGAATTAAAATAGAATACAATACAGAATAACAACAGCGAATAATGTATAACTCTAATCTGATAGGGCCTCCGACTGTCCTAATTCAAGATTTGGAAAAACAGACTTTCTGGAATGTCAGCAGGTTGGGAGACATTAACCCCAGATAAGGTGCCCCTGTAACCCACTGCAAATCTCTGCTTTGGGGGTTCTTGAAAGAAAACAAAAGAATTTCTAAATAAAAATTCTCTGCTTCTTTTTGTAGGTTCTTGCATTGTTTGAGGAAGTGGCTGTGTATTTTTCCAAGGAGGAATGGTCCCGATTAGATCCTGATCAAAAAGCCCTACACAGAGAAGTGATGCTAGAAAACTTCAGAAATGTGGCCTTTTTAGGTAAGCCCCCCCCCCCCCTGCTTTGTCATTAGATGCCTAGAAGAAATACTTTATGGTCAGATAGATCCAGTTTTCTTTTTAAAAAATCTCCAAACAACCTCTCCAGGCTGGGGAAAGGAGGGGTTCTATCATCTTAATGATGAGAGATTGATTAAATGGTGTTACAGGTAGTCCTCAATTTATGACCAGTTGCTTAATGCCTATTTGAAGTAATAACAGTGCCCCCGAAACAGATTTCTGACAGTGCCCTGAAAATATCAGCCCCAGAGACCTTCAAGATTCAGCCACTTTGGAAGCCGTGACTATTTGGGGCCCTCACAAAGTGTCTGGGGTCATGTGATTGCCCTTTGGTACCCCAGAAGCCACCCGTCCTTAGGATTTGCTATTTTGAGGCTCAGTTCAGTGGTGGGTTTCTCCCAGTTCAGACCAGTTCTATAGAACCGGTAGTAAAACCGGGGGGGGGGGGGGGGCTCCATCCACTGACCCAGACGTCATCAAAAGTGATTTGCGCATGCGCAGAAGAATGCATGCGGGTGTGAGCAGACCACGCGCACGCACGCAGGCACGATGCGAACCGATAGTAAAAGTAAGTAGAACCCACCCCTGGCCCAGTTGATTGCACAACAGCCAGGAACTGCTCAGCAAGTCTATGGTTTTTTTCTCCCCATTGATGTGAACACGTGATATCCAGGGACTTTGCAGTCGCCATGTCTTTTCTTGCCAAGGTCACATGAGGGCTCGACATCCAAGAGCAGTGCACCTTCTCCCCCGCCCCATTGTTGTTGCGTGCAGAAGCAGCGGAGCAAAGTGTTACAAGAAAGGTAAGTACTTTTTCCATATTGACGTATGCTTGGCTTTAACTTTCCCCCCAGTTTTTGTACAGATTTGTGCGGCAGCATGCATGTTGCATCTTCTTCCTGTCTAATTTTCAATTATATTTAATAACACTATGATGGTTTACCGTTTTAAATTTTTTTTCACATTCCAATATTTTCTTTCCTTTAGAACCAGAGAGCAGCCGGGTTAACTACGTACTTCTGTATTAGTTATTGTTAAAGCTGGCACCCACCAGGGCATAGAAAAACTCTACTAGTGGAAGATAGGAAGATGGGGAGAGACCTGGCCCACAGAATCTCCAAGAGCCAGACACGATTGAACAGTCTATATCATCATCATCACCGTATTATTGATGTATGGTAAGCATTTTGTCTACTATGGTGTGTTAATCTTTGTTGTTTCTTGTTGATCTAGGACAGAGTTCCCCAACCTTTCTGGGTTGCAGCCCGGGGGATTTTGTGGGAGGGGCAAGTGCATGTGCACGCGTGCTTGCTACATTCGTGGCAACACTCGTGCGAGGGGGGGGCTGCAAGCACCCGCGATGACTCTAACGTGAGTGGGGCTGCGAGCGCCTGCGACATGAGCATGAGTGCTCTGTAGGCTGGGTGCGCCTACAGAGGTGCACACACTGGCCGGCCACTCATGTGGCCCAGTGGCAATTAGCCCATGGCCCGGTAGTGGCCCATGGCCCACAGGTTGGAGATCCCTGATCTAGGATGTTTCTTTTCTTTTATTTTTTTTACTGTACTGCATTTGTTCTAAAGTGTTTTTTAAATTTCTTTTACAATAGTTTGGAAATGATGTAGTAAATGAAAAATAATGTTTGGAGTTGTCAACACTTCCCATCTGCTTTCTCTGGGTTTTCCAACAGCAACAGAGAACCAAATACTGTCTCCCCTCCCCGCCCCCCAAAATACAGTAGCCCTACATTAGATCTGCTGCTGTTGGAAAACACAGAGAAAACAGGTGAGAATGTATTGAAAACTCTCACCACTTTTCCTCTTTTACAGTATTTTTATTTTCTTTATATTTTAAAGAGAGGTCAAAATATTGGGGAATAAAAGAAATTATGTTTATTTAATGCACAATGTGTATTACTGTACACACATTGCAAATGTGGCAATGTCTGTAGAGATTCTCAGTCATCCAGGTCATGGTTGTCCCAAAGGTGATTTTTCAGGAGGCAACTGGACTTTCTTGTTTTTTCTTTGAAGACATTTCGCTTCTCATCCAAGAAGCTTCTTCACCTCTGACAGGATAGTGGGGGATGGAAGGATTTATATTCCTTGCAGACAGCTGGTCATTTGCATCCTTTTAGAAGGTCCTTGAAACACGTGGAGGTTTATCTGTGTCCACAAGGTCACCTGAGTAGTGCTCCTGGGTCCTGTAGTCTGCAATTTTTCCTCTGGAAATCCATTCTTACTCCCGCACCATTCAAAGGGTGTTCATCCCAAATGGTATAGCTAAAAGTCTGTAGAGATTCTCAAGTCATCCAGATCAATTTCCAGAGGAAAAATTGCAGACTGCAGGAACCAGGAGCACTACTCAGGTGACCCTGAGGACACAGATAAACCTCCACGTGTTTCAAGGACCGTCTAAAAGAAAGCAGATGACAAGCTCTGTGCAAGGAATATGAATCCTTCCATTCCCCACTATCCTGTCAGAGCAGAAGAAGCTTCTTGGGAAAAAAAAAAAAGAAAGTCCAGTTGCCTCCTGAAAAAGCGCCTTTGGAACAAATGTGGCAATGGTTTCTCTGTGAGAGAGTCATGCAGATGGCAGGGACCCAACCATAGAATAAAATGCTAGTGAAACAATACCATATGTATTGTCTACCTTGTTTCTAAACTCCTGACTTTTAACTTCGCAAATTATTTTTATGAGGTTCTTATCCCTTTCTACGAACCCTGGCTTTTCCTCACAAATGCATTGTATGTAGAGCAGGAGTCCGCAACCCCTGATCTGTGAACCGGTCCCAGTCCACGGCGTGCCAAAAACTGGGCTACGCAAATGAGCGAAGCCCCATACACGGGATACAGGCAGCACACAAAACCACACCCTTTCTGGTCCGTGGAAAAACCTCTCTCCACAGAACTAGTCCCGGGTGCCCCAAAGGTTGGGGGCCACTCCCTTCAATTGTCAAAAATCAGATTCAGTCTTGCACATGCTGTACACCAGGGGTGAAATGCTACCGGTTTGCACCGGTTCAGGCAAACCGGTAGTGATAAAAGCTACCAGTTCGGATGAACTGGTATTTCCAACGATCAGCTAGAAATCCTGCTTTCTAGCGAATCTAAATCGCGCGGCACAGCTGTCCCGCCCCCTCTTTTGCATGCTTTTGGCATGCACTGTGCATGTGTTCACATGCAGCGTGCTTTTAGCATGCACTGTGCATGCACATGCATAGCACGTGTTTGGCACGCATTGCGCATGTGCAGACAGCGAACCAGTGGCAATCTGCGGAGGATTTCACCACTGCTGTACATTATAAGAAAAAAAAAAAGATCAAGAGCAGGATGGGGAACCAGTTAAGAAAAAAGATGGTGTGTGTAAACAAATATTTAGTGCAATGAAAAAATGAATTTAAAATATGTTGATGGTAGCAGTAATCATTCATATCCTGTTGTACAGAGAAATTGTTTTTTGCCAGATAAGAAAAACACATTCTTGTACTACAATACTGCCTTCCCCTACCCTAACACTGAAGATAAATTATTCTGAACCAATCTCTCTCTCTCTTTCTTTCTCTTCATAGGTCAATACTTTGCAATTATCTCTTGGTTTGGTTGGCAGTGTCTTCAAATCAAAAGAAACTGAGTTCCTCTTCAGTGAAGCAGGGAGGCGAGAAGCAAAGGAAAAGCATCAATCTGGATTTTTTTTTTTTTAATTTGATTTATATGCCGCCCTTCTCCGAAGACTCAGGGCGGCTTACAATGTGCTCAGCAATAGCCTTCATCCTTTTGTATATTTATACAAAGTCAGCTTATTGCCCCCACAACTGGGTCCTCAATTTGAAGAGGAAGATCATCAAAGCACATGACGAAGGAAAGGAAGTGAACATTATAGTGCAAGAAGAAGGGCTGGCCCATTCCACTGTCTTTGCTACCATCTTCCCCTATCTTGAAGGCCAAAGAAAAGATCAGAGAGGTGATTAAAGGAGCACCGGAATGGATGCCATTATCGCAAGAAACCAAACGGCGGCTCATTCGCGAAATAGAAAACTGTTTTTGTTGTGGATTGAGGATCAAATCTAAAAGAGGATTCTGATTGGTCTTCTTCTCATTCAGGCTAAGGCGCACAGCAGTTTCACAGCGCTGAAGGAAAGACTGGAAAGGAGTACACCACGATATTCACTGCCAGCCGTAGACGATTTACGTGGTTTCAGTGAAGATTCAATTACCACAACATACACTCAGCAAGTGAAGCCACAAGCACCGACGAAGAACGCTTTCCAACACTTTCCAGATGAACTTGATGACATCATAGCAAAAGGCAACTCTTTTGCCTGAACAGAAATTCAACATGGATGAAACTGAGGTGTTTCGGAAGAAAATGCCGGAGTGGATCTGTATACACAAAGGAGGGAGGCCAAAGCGACACCTGGATATAAAATGTTCTGCGTCAGAATAGCACTTCGCATTAGCACTTAGACTTATATAGCACTATAACAATAGCACTTAGACTTATGCTGAATTTATATTTTACCAACAAAGAAATAAAGGGAGACTAGTATAGATCTATTTCAAGCTATTTAGCTCTCATCAGCTAGCCATAAATAGCTTGAAATAGATCTATACTAGTCTCCCTTTACTTCTTTTTCGGTAAAATATAAATTCAACACAAAAATAGTTTGTCGCAAAAGCGAGTGCCTGTGAAGGCTCCTGGATTGGGGCTGAAAGGCAAAAGCGGAAGCAGTATGCATCCGTCCCATATTTGGGTAGACCAGGTTGCCCTGATAGACTGATCTCACTGGAAAAACACTTTTCCACTTAGATTTATATACCGCTTCACAGTGCTTTACAGCCCTCTATGAGCGGTTTACAGTCAGCCTATTGCTCCCCAACAATTTGGGTCCTCATTTTACCAACCTTGAAAGGATGGAAGGTTGAGTCAACCTTGAGCCGGTGAGAATCGAATTGCTGGCAGTCGGCAGAATTAGCCTGCAGTACTGCATTCTAACCATTACGCCACCACATCTCTTAATAACCTCATTGTTGGGCAGAAATGTCTGAATTTAAGCGAAGCCATTTCTGATCCATAAAACAGTATATTTAAAAATCAGCAAGCACACATTCCCATTTATTACAGAGCCAGTTAAAAAGTTTGGCTGACTCCAGTCCTCTTTGAGGATTGATTTATGAGTTGTTTTGTACTTCTAAGTAAAGACATACTGCTTGGAAAAACTGAATTCGTTTCAAAACTTTCCTGCTTCTCGACAACATCCCTGGACATCCCGTCTCTTGGCAATCTCCACCCAGATATATAGGTAGTTTATTTCTCCCCCCAAAACTCCACCTGTCTCCTTCAGCCTACAGACCACTGCAACATTCAAGATTTATTATTTGAGTGCAAGTGGAAAATGAAGGCGTAGCATTATGTGACTTTTGGAAAGCCTACAATCACTTCCATTGCATTATAAATATTGTAGCAGCTTGGCAGGATATCATTGCAAAATGTATACAAGGCATTTGGAAAACCCATATAAAAAGTTTTGCTTGCACTTACAATTGGGAAAATTTTGATGAAAATTTGCAAGACGTCCATCAGGTATTTTGTCGCTCACAAAATCCCACGATTTAGAGCCTTATGCTGAAACATTTGATAGCCCAGACTGAGAGAGCTTTCAAATGAAGATTCAATAGAACTGCAAGACGAAAAGGAAGGATGACAGACCGAGAGGGTGGGGGGGTGGGAGAGGAAGAGGATTTTGAAGGGGAAGGAGAAAATGTAGCAATTCAGCCCAAAAACTTACCTCTGAAAGCATTGACTGGTTTTTTTTTTCTCTCTCGCATGAACCAAGCTTTATAATTTTGGGAAAGCAGAGATCCAAATTTACAATGGGTTGAAAAGATGCCTAGGGGAATTGACGAGATCATGTGCTGTAGGGTTAAAAGCAGAAAAATTTATAAATCACGCTTGCTGGATTCTTTAGGAAAGTTATTCCTTTTTCAAATGTACCACCTTCCCCATGTACAGGAACAGAAGACTGTCAGCCGTCAATCAGCTATGCCAACCTATCTATCGTCACCGGCACTCAAGACACAGGAAAAGATTACTGTATGTTTATACAGAAGGCAGTCGTAAAATCTGATTTTGCCCTTTATTTTTGCCCAGTAATGCAATATTATGTCTATAATAATACTTGTATTTTCTTTTGTTACATACAAGTTGTTATTAAAATGTTTTTACTGTAAAGTTTTAAATGTTTTGCTTAGCACATTGTAAGCCGCCCTGAGTCTCCGGAGAAGGGCGGCATATAAATCAAATTTTAAAAAAAATGTTCAGTTCTTTGAAGGATGACAGAAATAGATTACTGAATTAAAGATGGTTGAAGGGGGAAAGGTGTTCTGAATTGCTCTGTTCTGTTCTGAAGCTTGTATTGTTAGGGCCAATTCTTGGGTTTGGGAGAATTAAATACTGTAATAGCCCACTTAAGATAGCCCGATAGTAGCAATTCTAATCTAAAGGTGGTTTACAGCTGCCGTTTTAAACTCTCACCTTACATACAGTTCAGTAGTATTGTATTTATTCTTAGATCCTGTAAAGTTTTTAAGACAATCTTTTGCTGATGAAATATACTTTCCTTGATCCCATTTTGAAGAAGAATGGCACCTCTATGCCACCAAGAGAAAAGAAAATTCTGCTAATTTATATATAGTACAGTGCAGGGGTGGTCTGCTGGGGGTTCGGCAGAACCTCTAGCTAATTTTCTGGGCAGTTCAGAGAACCCTCAAATCCCACTCCTGGCTGGCCCCCTCACCTAGCCCCGCCCCTCCTAAGAGTCCCCACGCAGCCCATTTTGGATGCAGATAAGTGCAGGGTGCGCGCAGAGGCTCGGGGAGGGCGAAAAACAGGCCTGCTGGACAGGAAGTTCCAAAGGGCTTCCAGAGTCTGGGGAGGCTGTTTTCACCTTCCCGGATGCTCGAGGAAAGCCTCCGGAGCCTGGGGAGGGCAAAAATGTCCCTCCTGCCGTGGTGCAGAAGGCCGACTAGGCCACGCCCACCATGCTGAGGTGGCACAGTGGTTAGAGTGCAGTTCTGCAGCTACTTCAGCTGACTTCTAGTTCAGCAGATCAGCGGATCAAATCTCACCGGCTCAAGGTTGACTCAGCCTTCCATCCTTCCGAGGTGGGTAAAATGAGGACCCAGATTGTTGGGGGCAATATGCTATTTAGTATACTGTCTTTGGTGTAAGCCGCCAAAGTGAAATAATTTATAGGACAGTAACGAAACACTTGTCTTTTTACAAAACGCATTTTTGTTTTGATTTTAAGATCATTTGTCTCCTGTCTTACATTTTCAGTCATTTACATATACAGTACAATAGAATATAGTAATCTCGGATGCCTTTCTGAGTTTTCAGAATTCTAATATTCTCCTTAAAGAACCAAGGTGAATTGGAAATACCTCTGTGGCTAGTATTATTTTCAGTTAATAGTGGTTGATTATTTGAAACGTTTTAAGGTCTTTTTTGGAATCTTTGTTTTGTAATACAGTATTGTATAGACCAGGGATGTCAAACTGAATTTCATTGAGGGTCGCATCAGGGCAGTGGTTGACCTGGGGGGGGGGGGGCAGCTGGGCATGCCCAACTGAGTGGGTGTGACCAACTAGGTGGGCGTGGCCATCTTGACACCACTCCCCCAACTGCTGGCATGTTTCCTCTTCGCACTGGGTAGACCGGGCTGAAGCCACGCTGGCCTTGATTTTTCCTCTTCGCACTGGGTAGACTGGTCCGAAGCTACGCTGGCCCAAACTTTCCTTTTCACATTGGGTAGACCAGGACGGCCCCATGGGCTGGATCCAACCACATTGCAGGCCAGATGTGGCCTGCGGCCCTTGAGTTTGACACTCCTGGTATAGATAAATGCTTAACTTATAACCTCAATTGAACCCAGAGTTTTGGTCATAATTCCTTGCAGTCACTAAACGAGGTACCCATGAGACCGCTTTGTTCAAGAACCACAATCCTGACTCTCCCTTTTGCAGTTATTAATCGACTGCATGCCATAAAGCAGAACATTTGGTGATTGGGAGGCTGGGTTGCAGGTCTGCACTCTGTTTCAGGCCCAGGCACACACTGCCTTTCCCTCAGCTCATACATGGCCTGTGCTGGAACTGAAATAAGAGACCCAGGGTCTTCAGCAGTCTCAGCCAGCTGCCATCACCATCCCCGTTCTAATCATCTGTTTTAGTCCTGTATGTGAGCCTTGAGAAATGATGCAATTGCCCCCGTGGCCCAGTGCTCCCCAGGAACTGCAGCATGCCACTAACCTTCAAACATCTTTCTCCTGTTGACAGGCCCGCGCAGCCTATTCGAGGCAGCTCTGGGTTTCATAAGGCCTTATGCCTTAAGCGGTTTCAGAGCATGTTCTCATGTGGCCTTCGGATCCTTTAGAAGCTACATAAGAGGGGTGTGTCTCCGGTGGCCTTCAAAACATCTGGAGACTGTACAGGACCATGCCCCATTCTTGTGAGGATTCCGGAAGCTGTGTGAGAACACGTTCCATTCTTGGGTGGATTCCAGAACCTCAAGAGGCTGGTGTGTGAGCATATCCTGTTCTTGTATAGTTTCTGGAGGCTCCAGAAGACAACACAAGAGCATGTCCTATCGCCCATCTCCGAAGGCTCTGGAGTTTGCGTGAGAGCATGCCCTGTTCTCTTGTAGTTTCTGGAAGGTCCATAGACCGTGCAACAGCACACTTTGTTCTCACATGACTTCCAGAGGTTATGTGAGAACATGCTCCACAGCTGTTTTTAGGAAAGAAGGCCTTGTGCAACTTGGAGTTGCCTCAGATACACTGTGGGGGCCTCTCAATAGAAGGAGGAAGCCAGCTGAAGGTAAGTGGCATGCTCATGTGCCTTGGAGATTGGCACGAGGCAGCATTTCTGCGCGGCAATGGTGATGCTAGGGCTGAAGAGGCCGGGATGGTAGCAGATAACTAAGACTGCTGCAGGTCCCTGGCCTCTAGTTCAAGTCCAAGCTTAGTGCAGCTTGGTGCCAAGTGCTACTAGTGAGGGTAGCCTAGACGGAGATAGTCAGGTGGCTGGGTGCGAGTTGCAGCACCCCTATGGTAATAGTAGGTATGCTGCAGAGCATCCACATTTTGTTATGTGATCATGGGGGCACTGCAATGGTTATAACTTTGAGCAGTGGTTGTAATTCTGTTCAGCACCATCGTAATTTCAAATGGTTGCTGAACAGATGTCGTAAGTTGAGGAATACTTGTACCATAGTAACTTTAAAGGTGTACAACTATTAAGGTTTTCCCCCCCCGATATAGAAAACTGCAGCTTTTGTTACTGTTTATAAATCTGGTTTTTATTAAGATACAGAATTAATTTAAACTGTTGGGGGGGGGGCATTATCACATTATCACCTTCCGCAGCAGTACTGCACACTATGTGTGGTTTCATTTAACAACCTTAAATGACTGAAGGAAAACTGCAAGCACCAATTGTGATTCATTTAATGACTACTGTAAAAATGGTTTTAAAAACAGATCTGGTCAAATGATTGGATTTATGACCCTAATTTAATGGGGAAATTCTGGACAATTCTGTTGAAGGTTACCAGTAAATGTAAATGAAATTAACTATATAGACTGCTGCTGTGCTCCCTGAATCCCTTCCTGTTTCTCTATAAACTATTGTTTTACCACAGTTAATAGCAGGTATTTCAAGACAGACAAGAAATTAGATCTAGTAATTATAAATCCTTGCTCCCATGGTTCCATTTGTTCACCTCTGGAATATATATTACCAGCATTTCCCCCCTGATTTCTCACTTCCTTAGCTGAACTCGGAGATTTGATAGCAACCCATAAGCAGAATTCATTCATTCAACGAGATGGTGTAACAGTGCAAATGTCTCTTTTATGTAAGCAAATGGATTTTTAGATGGTTTAAGAAGCTCATAAAATAGAAGTGATCCGCTTCTACGCTGTGTAGTGTTATACTATGGACATTATAATAACTTGTCACTCAAACGCCAAATTTGTAAGGCTTAGATCAGAGTATTTACCGTAATGTTGGTCAGCAGAACAAACTCCTTTCAAAATACTTTTTATTTATTTATTTGTCAAGCGTGTATAAGATGACAGATATAGGTATAAACATGATTATGAATACATGAAATGGATACGAATAAATGGGGACATTAGAACAGGGACGGTAGGCACGTTGGTGCACTTATGCACGCCCCTTAAAGACCTCTTAGGAATGGGGGTGAGGTCAACAGTAGACAGTCTAAGGTTAAAGTTGTGGGAGTTCGGGGAAGAAACATGGCAGAATTTCACTAGGAAATTTATACTCACTTTCTGTGCTTGAATTTTTATTTTGCTTCCTCTACCTTGCCTCAATTTTTCATTCATTCTTTTTCTCTTAAGGAAATTGCATTCAAGAGAACAAGGAAGCCTTCCAAATGTTCAGGCACGAAGAGAGAAGAGAAGGGCTTGCAAATTCAATGGAACCCAAAGAACATGAAAGAAATCTGTCAAAAAATGAGAGTAACAGTAGCTCAACTTTCCCATCCACTGAAATCCAGGACTTTCTTCCCAGAAAAGATCACAACAAAAAAATAAATGTGGAAAGCGTGGAAACATTTGAAGAGGGCTCAGATTTATATGAACATCACACAATTAGCACTAAAAAAGAGGATGTATACCAAAAGGTTGAAAACGGCTACAATTGGACTTCTAACCTTTCTTTATGTGGTGAAACGAACATGGGAAATGAACCATATCAATGTGCAGAGAATGGAAAGCATTTAAGTGAGAGCAATTCCCTTGCTTCCAGTGAAAGAATCCATTCAGGAGGGAAACAGTATAAATGCATGGAATGTGGAAAGAGTTTTAGCAAGCAGAGATATCTTACTTCCCATAAAAAAAATTCACACAGGAGAGAAACCATATAAGTGCATGGAGTGTGGAAAGAGCTTTACTCAAAAGGTTACTCTTAATTCCCATCAGATGATCCACACAGGAGAGAAACCATATAAATGTATGGAATGTGGTAAGAGCTTCAGGAAGGCCACCCAGCTTACTTCCCATCAAAAGATCCACAGAGGCGAAAAACCATATAAGTGCACGGAGTGTGGAAAGAGTTTTACCCAAAAGGTTACTCTTAATTTCCATAAAATGATTCATACTGGAGAGAAACCATATACGTGTATGGAGTGTGGAAAGAGCTTCCGGAAGAGCGCTCGGCTTACTTCCCATCAAAGGATCCACACAGGAGAAAAACCATATAAATGCACGGACTGTGGAAAGGGCTTCAGCTTGAGCAGTTCCTGTACATATCATAAAAGGATCCATGCAGTCGACGGAACGTATGAATGCATGGAATGCGGAAAGACTTTCAGCCAGTGCAGCTATCTTAATTCTCATAAAAAAATTCACACAGGGGAGAAACCATATAAGTGCACAGATTGTGGAAAGAGCTTTAATCAGAAGTGTAACCTTAATTACCATAGAATGATTCATACGGGGGAAAAACCATATAAATGTGAAGAGTGTGGAAAAGGCTTTATCCAGAACTTTCAACTTACCTATCATAAACGGATCCACACGGGGGAGAAGCCGTATTCGTGTTTGGAGTGTGGAAAGAACTTCAGGTGGAGCATTCAACTGACTTCCCATCAAAGGACCCACACAAAGGAGAGACCGTATAAATGCACGGAATGTGGAAAGTGTTTCAGCCAGCGCGGTAATCTCAATTCCCATAAAAAAATCCACACACAGGAGAAACCATATAAATGCATGGAATGTGGAAAGAGCTTTACTCAGAAGGTGACTCTTAACACCCACAAAATGATACACACAGGAGAGAGGCCATATACGTGTACAGAGTGTGGAAAGAGCTTCCGGAAAAGCAGTCAGTTTATATCCCATCAAAGGATCCACACAGGGGAAAAACCATATAAGTGCACGGAGTGTGGAAAGAGCTTCAGCATGAGCGGTTCCTTTGCATACCATAAAAGGATCCATGCAGGAGTAGGACCATATCAATGCATGGAATGCGGAAAGAGTTTTACCCAGTGCAGCTATCTTAATTCTCATAAAAAAATCCACACGGGGGAGAAACCATATAAGTGCATGGATTGTGGAAAGAGCTTTAGTCAGAAGTGTAATCTTAATTCCCACAGAATGATTCACACAGGGGAGAAACCATACAAATGTGAAGAGTGTGGAAAGAGCTTTATCCAAAACTTTCAACTTACCTACCATAAAAGGATCCACACGGGGGAGAAACCGTTTAAATGCATAGAATGTGGAACGAGTTTCAGGTGGAGCACTCAGCTGACTTCCCATCAAAGGACCCACACAAAGGAGAGACCGCATAAATGCATGGAATGTGGGAAGACTTTCAGCCAGCGCAGTAATCTCAATTCCCATAAAAAAATTCATAATGAGGAGAAACCGTATAAGTGCACGGAGTGTGGAAAGAGCTTCAGTCTTAAGGTTACTCTTAATAACCACAAGGTGATTCACACAGGGGAGAAGCCGTATAGATGCACAGAATGTGGAAAGAGCTTCAGGAGAAGTACCGAACTTATTTCCCATCAAAGAATCCACACGGGGGAAAAAAACCATATAAGTGCACAGAGTGTGGGAAGTGCTTTAGCATGCATAGTTCCTTTACATACCATAAAAGGATTCACAAGGGGGGGGCAAGCCATATAAATGCATGGAATGTGGAAAGAGCTTCATCAATAGCCGTTCCCTTACATATCATAAAACGATTCACATAAGGGAAAAACCATATAAATGCGAAGAGTGTCGGAAGAGCTTTGCCCAAAAGATTCAGCTGATTTCCCATCAGATGGTCCACACAAGGGAGAAGCCATATTCAAAAGCTTGGGGGGTGGACTAGAAGACCTCCAAAGTTCCTTTCAGGTCTGTTAGTCTGTTATTCTGCTTCAACAGAAAAGGATCCACATGAAGAAGAAACAGTAGAAATGCTTGGAATGTGGAAAGAGGTTCTGTGAAAATCCATGAAACCATCTTTCCAGAGGTTTGGTAGTGACCGATCATCAGGAATGTCCACTTCCAATATAATTGGCCCCAAGAAATTTCTAGCTATAAAGCTAAAGGTAAAGGTTCCACTCACACATATGTGCTAGTCGTTCCCGACTCTAGGGGGCGGTGCTCATCTCCATTTCAAAGCCGAAGAGCCAGCACTGTCTGAAGACGTCTCCATGGTCATGTGGCCGGATGACTAAATGCCAAAGGTGCTGTTACCTTCCCACCAAAGTGGTCCCTATTTTTCTACTTGCATTTTTTACGTGCTTTCGAACAGCTAGGTTGGCAGAAGCTGGGACAAGTAATGGGAGCTCACCCCATTATGCAGCACTAGGGATTCGAACCACTGAACTGCCGACTTTTTGATCCACAAGCTCAGTGTCTTTAGTCACTGAGTCACACAGAGTCTCAGATGATAAACTCCTGGAGCAGTTTCTGAGCAGTGATTCTTGTCAATTCCATCTCAGCCAGCTGGAGCAACAGAAGGAACAGGAAGAACTACAGAGGAGAGGCCTCATCTGGCAAGCTCAAAATGGGATCTAAAATAATAAAGTACAGCTGTTTTGAATTCTTAAATGACTTCCTGTTTGAGTTTTGCTGGGGTTAACAATATTAGATGTTTTAGGGTAAATTATTCCAATGCAATTCCAGTGAAAATATTTGGAGAAATTCTTGCACTGTTGCCCTCCATTCTTATCTTTGGTGTAGAGGTAATCCTCAACGTACGACTATAATTGAGCCCAAAATTTCTGTTGTTGAGACATTTGGGAGTTTTGCCCTATTTTATAACTTTTCTCACGTTAGTTGTTAAGTGAATCCCTGTGATTGATTAGTAACCCAGTTGTTAAGTGAATTTGGCTTCCCCATTGACTTTGCTTGTCAGACAATCACAAAAGGTAATCACATAACCGTGGGACACAGCAATGGTCATAAATATGAAGCAGTTGCCAAGCATCTGAATTTTGATCACACGATCCTAAAAAATGGTCATGAATCACTTTTTTCAGTGCCATTGCAACTTTGAACGGTCACAAAATGAACTGTTGTAAATCGAGGACTATCTGTAGTTAATGGTCAGGCAAATCCCCACCCTACATGCTCTCATCATCTGCTCGCCCCACATGCCACATCCCAAACTACCAGTTCAGACATACCAAACATACTTCTCAATTGAGCCACTCCTAGAAATGTGCTTCCAGGATGATAACATGAAATTCTCCTTATGTTCTGCCCCAGCTACGGACCCCAAAGAACGCAGCACACACAAAGTCCGTTCAAACCTTAAGTTTATTAAATAAACCAGTCTTTTACAACAACAGCTGTTAATTAACTGCATTAACAGCCGCCAAGAATTCAAAGAATAATAACTCTACTGTGGTTGGCAGAATGCCCAGAAGCAATTTGCAGGAAGCTGATAAGATCAGCAAGACAAGACACGAAGGTATGTGAATGAAGTTGTTCCCTGCAAATTGCTTCAGTCAGCGTTCCTCCTTAAATTGGCTAAGGGAGTGGCCAATTAGCCCCAAGTCTTATTCTCGAGGAGACCTCCTCCTGAGGAGCCACTCCTGCCTTTTGGCAGCTTTGCACACCCATGCATCGAGAAGAGGCTCCTCCTCTTCGTCCTCTTCACTTAAGGGAGCTTCGGGAGGCCCTGGCTGAATCCCCGCTTCTGGCACCACATCTTCTCCAGCCTACTCATTGTCTGACTCGAGTGCCAGCTGCACAGGCTACTGGCGCAGCACCACACCAGCCTCCTTGCTGTCTGAATCAGTTACTAGCTGCACAGGCCACGTACGGGTCACAATACCTTAGAAGGAATGACCTCTTATTTTTTTTCTAAGTTCATCCTTCTCCAACCCCATATATATTTCTCCAGTTTCTCCCTCTTCCTAGCCAGTTGCTTAGTAAAGCAAAGGGTGAATATGAACGGAATCATAAATATGACTTAATTTGGGGGACACAAGAAAATGGAAATCTTACAAAGGCTGAAAATATAAAGGCATCTGAAATACCAATCTTACAAATCCCAAATCATGCCTCTCCATCTCTAAACATCTTAACAGTGGAAGAATTATTTGGAACTTTATTACCAGAGGAAAACACCCTAGCTCCCATGTCCAATCCAGAGAAGACAAGACAAAATGGATACCTCATGCAGAGAACACAATCTGCTTTTACCTCAGAATTAAGTTAGAGAAGATGGTCATGAAAATGCCATTATGGTAATACACAAGTAAACCTGAAAATGTTCCACTTGGTGAGAAACATAAGGGCCAAATGCAGATCAGCCAATGAGTCGCACCATTTGCAAAGTATTGACGAAGCTGACTACATAAATTTCTCACATAAAAAGCAGGTGGAGCTTCCATAGCATCCTCAGGGCTGCCATTTACCACATCTTTTAACTATTATGTGTAGTTCCCCACACATTGTCTTTTTGGTTGTCAATTCCCTTATCACCATCCCTTTTCCTCTCCAAATACAGGCAAATCTCTCCACAATGGTGCAAGGACCTTTCCTGTTCTATTATTCTTCATAGAACAGATTTTATACTTTATCTTTTTTTTCCTTAGGACCTTTTGTTCCTCAGATTTTTCAATATATAGGCTTCCTCAGAGTCTGAGTTTTGAAGTCTCTTGAGCACTTCATCTCTGCTAACACATATTTCATTTTTTTTTCTTTACGTATAATGTCATGGATGTGTCTTGAAGATTTGTTAGATTAAAATATTAGGTTTATGCAAGCTGCCAGTTCTCCTGATTTTTCTCCTTTTCAAAAAATTCTTTTATACTCGCTGAATTTATCCCTTTCCAGGTTTAATTCCCCACCTGGTGCAACTTCTGAGGTAAAATTTTGAGAAGGGTGTCCCGTGATCAAGCACCCACAACTTCTGGAGGCAAGTATTGTGCAATCAAATTTTATGAATAGCAGTTGTGGCTTGGAGACTGCCAGTTGTGTGCCACATGTGATCTTTCCTGGATTGTGAGGCCGAGTGCAGTCACTCATGTCCTGGTCATCTGGTTGGATGACTGCAATGCGCTCTACATGGGGCTAACCTTGAAGAGTTATTTGGAAGCTACAACCGATACAGAGGACAGCAGCGTGGACAGTTCTGGAGGCCGCTTGGGTGGCACATGTCACACCGCTGCCAGTTTTCATCTGGGTCCAATTGAAGATGTTATCATTACTTTAAAGCCCTTTATGGCTGGGGTCTCGAACCCCTGGTCTGTGGACCGACACCTATCTGAGGCATGTCAGCAACAGCGTTGCACAAAGAAGTGAAGTCCCATCCGTGGAATGCAGGCAGCATGCAAAACCACACCCCCTTGGGTCTGCGGAAAAAACTTTCTTCACGGAACTGGTGCCTGGTGCCCCAAAGGTTGGGGGCCGCTGCTTTATGGCATGGGTCTAGGGAATCTGAGGAACTGTGTCATCCAGATGGGAACATTTGTTCTAGTGGAAATGACCTACTTCAGATCCCACTGGCCAAAGAATTTCAACTGGTGGTATCCAAGAGAAGAGCCTTTTCTGCTGTGCCACCACCTCTGGAATATTCTCCAGTCAGAGGTGAGGTCTGCTTCACACTACTGTCCTTCTGGAAAAATCTAATAACATGGCTCTTCTGCTTGACCTGGGCTCCTGACAAGTCCCTGCTACATTGGGATGGCTGACCAGATAGAAAAAATTATTATTATCCATCATCTTGGTTTGTAATTTTTAACATTTCTATTCAATTTTTCTAATTTTAATTGGTTTTTTTTTTAGCATTTTAAAAACTGTATTATATTGTAAGCTGCCCATAGTCACTGTATCAGTGATGGGAAAAATAGAAATTACATACATACATATATATGGACGTACGTACAAAAATGCAGAGCAGTAAACCAATCAGAGGCACAATTATGGCGATGCAGGGTTGTAAGAAAAGCATTGATGACCAAAAGAGTAAATTTCCAGTTGATCAAATGCAAAACTTTCAATAAAACACCATTCAAGGACAGCATCAAAAGAAGCTACGTCTTTGTGAGGAAATATAACATATCAAGTATTGAGAATATAAAAGCGAGACTTTTATCAACATTTAAAAAATTTTTAATATGGTAAATAATGAACATGGAAAATATACCGATAATCAGCATTCTTTACTGATTCTCCTTTGTCCAAGGGCAATTCCTGTCAGTGGTGGAAAGAGAGGAGAAATCTAGCTCTGGGCCTCTGCTGAATCAAGTGTCACAGTTCTTGATTTGTTCCCCAATTCTACATGAAACCGCTGTGACACAGTCCATTGGGTTAGGTACTATCAATACAGTGATGATTCTTAGCCATATATCTCTGCCCCAGGGTACCCAAGCAATGCTGTCAAGGGGCTTTCCTAATACCTGGAGGCTCTACAGACCTGGATGGAGGGTGGTCCAGCTTTGGTTCAACTCTGACAAGACCAAGTAGTTGTGGGCTTTAGAGTCCCCCATATCAAGGGTGAAATCCAGCAGGTTCTGACAGGTTCTGGAGAACTGGTAGCGGAAATTTTGAGTAGTTCAGAGAACTGGTAGAGGAAATTTTGAGTAGTTTGGAGAACCGGCAAATACCACCTCTGGCTGGCCCCAGAGTAGGGTGGGAATGGAGATTTTGCAATATCCTTCCCCCTGCCACGCCCACCAAGCCACGCCCACAGTACCAGTAGTAAAAAAATTTTGATTTCACCAGTGCCCCATAGCTAGTGATCAGCTCAACTCTGGCTGGGATGATACTCCCTGTCAGAGCTGTGCCACAATCAGGGGGTCTCCTGGCGTCACAGCTCTTAGAGAGGGGGTAACCAATGCACTCTCCATGCGGCTGCCTTTGAACATTCAGAAGCTGTAGCTAGTCCAGAATGCAGAAGCATGGACAATATTATGAGTTCTGTGGTATGCCAATGTAACACCACTGCTGTGCGAACTGCGCTGGCTCCCAGTAGGCTATCAAGTGCAATTTAAGGTAGAGTTGGTCACCTTTATAGGTTATATCATCTACATAGATAACATGGGGCAGGACTGCCTACTATATTCCTGATGTTTTCTTCCTATCCTACACCATCTGGCAGGATGGGCATGCTTCGGGTCCCCCAGGTAAAACAATATTCCCGATGGAGGCCTTAAAAGCCTTCATTTATTTATAAAATTTATTAGCCATCCATCTTACTATAAGATAACTCTAGGAGGCTTACAGTCATTAAAATATGTCTATACGTATACGATGAAAACATAATTACAATCAAACATTAAAACCTAAGGACACATGGGGAGCGTGGGGGCAGACTTGGAGAAGGTGGGATCTGATGTTACTCGATCAACTACCTCCCTTGTGCTGTTCCTCCACAGGGGCTCCAAGCCAACTAGCAGAGTCACATCTTTAGGCCCTTATGAAAGGATAGGAGGGTTGAGGCTAACCTCACACACTGGCACAGGTGGGACAGGCCAATCCCAGTGGGATGAGATGGCTCCCTCAAGTAACCTGGATCCATGCCATGAAGGGATTTAAAGGTGATCACCAAGAGACGTTCATTCAGGATAATGGATTTGCACTTACAACCATGTGGT